GATCCACAATATTTTTAACTCTTGCCAATATAGATATACTTTTAGCCAATTTATTATGTATATATTTAATATGAGGTTTCCAACAGATTTTATCATCAATATTTATGCCTAGAAATTTTGTTTCGTAAACTCTTTCTATATTGGCATCCCCCACCCTTACTTGAATCTGACGATTTAATCTTCCATATCCAAACAGCATGAATTTTGTTTTGTCCAGATTTAGTGATAACTTATTCCTGTCACACCATTTCTTCACCTTGTCCAATTCCACAGTAATCAGACCCAAAAGTTGCTGTAGGTCTTCCCCAGAGGCCCATATAGTAGTATCATCAGCAAATAGTACAAAGTTCAATAATTCAGAAACATTGCATATATTGTTAATATACAGTATGAAAAGTTTGGTCTACAATAAATAAATAGTCCCTTCTGATATACACATAGGCGATTATATACCTTGAGCAAGTCAGCAATCAGCGTCAACCTCAGTCGTTCATCTAAATTAGATAAATAGTGCAGTTATGACCATTCTACTCAAATACTGACCCTTTAATGATAGCATTTTTATCACATTTGTAATTTTTAAGTGCTAACCCTGCTGCGACACAGTTTCAATAACTTTGCCAGTTGCAAAACTGCCACTTACAGAACACCAGAGCTGGCTTTTCAGAAGGGACTGAAAATAGCACCTTGTAGCCTTTTACCTCCATACACATAGGTTGGTGTTCACTGATACACAAAAGAAACTCTCAAGCCATAATGCCTGTTATGAGCCATGGCAGTGTGTGAACTGGAGAGTGTTTTGTCATGGTGCAAACACTACTTTCATGAATACAGGCTGATAAGCACTATGGGGTAGATTCAAGGACAGCAAGATCAAATAAACATGTTTTTGTACCCCTCCAGAGCAGATCTAAAGTTGAATTAATGTTTATCAGAAGATGGTTTCCATTTCATTGATCCATTTGGAGAATGAGCGGCTTTAGTTCTTAAATATACAATGTTCATCATCCCAATAGATGCAGCATGTCTGCAGCACAGAGAGAGATGAAATTATTCTGAGGGCAAATGATGACTTTCCAAATATTTGATATTTAAATTATATGTTTATCCTTTGTCAGTTTATGGAGAGAATACAAGTCAGTTTAACACCAGTTAATTCTTGCTGACTTCTAGTGACTGGGGTTCCCACCTGGCTGCAGTGATGCTAAAGTGCACTCAGGGCATGACTACCACACCTTCACATCACAGATGAGTGTGGAAAGAGAGCTGTGGGTGTGTGGCTTTCACCTTGGAGTTGTTATTCTTTCTATTAGCATTATCTGTTTTTTTAATTGCCTAGGGGCTGTGGAAACAATCTGTTAAAACAACACTCTCATGTTATTAGTATGATGAATGTGTTAGGAAACAGCTGCTCATTACAGATCCAGCAGCTAGGCAGCAACATTAGCAGCCATTTGAAGGCATGTTTTTGACCACATGATGGATGTTAGTCTTTTATTCACACTCCTCTTGGCTAATTTATTGGATTCCATTACTTACTAAGGGAAAGAAGGAACTAGCTAGCTATTAAATAATCAGTTAAAATATGCTATAAGGCTCTGAAGACAAAAGAGGAGCTATAAAGTAGAATGATAATTATGTGTGGGTTCACCTTGAGTCACACGTTTGCATTGTTGATATAAAACTATTGATTATACAGTAACTGCTTCAAGTAAGGCACAAAACTGACATTTTGTAAGTGTTTTCCTCAGTACCTTTACAGGGCTGGGTCTCAAAGACTTGGTGCGGGCAGCTGTCCTGGTTCTCCATAACTTGAACAATCACAGCTCTAGAGCGCGCTTGGCGACCGGTGGTCTCAAAGCCCCGCCCCTCCAGGCAGATTAGCTGGCATGAGCTCCAAGATGACCACTCTGTCAAATGGCAGTCTCCTGAGGGCAGAAGACAAAGAAAACACTGTCAGACCTTCATTTTTAGACACTTGACGATGGTTTATATGCAGCAACGCTATTTCAGAGATCATATTATTGGCTCCCCTGCTAGCTCCTGAAACATTTAAAATAGATCGAAAACAACTGCAGCACACATCTGTGGATGATAATGTACCACATTCACAAACAAATTACCCAGACAGCCCAGTGGGTATTCAGAAGTAACAGACCAACCACAGATATAAATTATGCAATAAAAGCTGCAACGCCGAGCCAAATCGAAAGGTAACACCCGATACTGAAACGTGTCTCACAGGAAAAGCGACAATCATTTAGTTTGGCAACTGTTTTTAGTCGGAGGCCGGTTGATGCACTCAGAGTCTATAAATAACACATCTACACTTGCTTCCTTGAAGGTCAAATATTAATATCCTTTGTAATCCTTGATAGGGTCATCTGGTAGTGATAATATCACCCACTGCCACAGCTCCTCAGCCAGAACAGCTCTCTGATTCTCTGCCCATTAGTGACATTAGCAGATTGACACATCTCATTACCTCTCATCTTTATATGGATCCACTCTATCAGTTCTTCTCTCATGCTGGTATGGATATAGAAACATGCTGTGGTAAAAGCTGCAGTTTACAGCAGACAGCAGCACAATTGCGCACATACATGTCGACAACCGCTCCCCTACGCTGCGTCTGCCACTTTCACACTAACAGACACCTGAACACGCAACATAAATGCACACACATCTGCTCTAACCATCAAACAGTAATGATCCTGTGCCGGCTCATAACAAAGGTGGTTTGAGTGATGAATCAAGGCGAGGATCAGAGGAGAGCGGGAGTGAGATGAGGCAAACGCTAACAGGACACTCATATGGCAAGAGCCATGCCAAAGGAGATCAGACGATTGATGAATGATTGTATTTCTCTTTTGAAAGTGACAAAAAAATTCAATATTTTCTACAGTATGACACTTTTGTAGGTGGCTTGTGCCCGAGGACAGTGAAGCTTCATTATAGATTTTCAGGGAGGAAGGCCTGACAGTGACAAGTGTTGTGCCCACAAGTCCAAAGTAGACCTTTTGAAGAAATGTTTGATTCTGAGAAACCCAGAATATTAATAATTAATAACCAACTTTGATTTCCAAGGCATTGAGGAGCAGAGTGGCTTTCATCAACCCTGCACCGACCCTATGTAACTACAAGGGCCCTTTGTGTGCAAAGCTCAGGACTCAGCTCAGGACCATCTCGGAACTCTGGACACCGCCCGACTCTGGGCCAAAAGGGCCCCAACCTACGTTTCTCCTTCCCTGGCCACGTGAACCCTGTCGTTAAGCTGATGACTCATGAAAACCGTAGTCTCATTTAATTAAAGTCTCTAATCTGTAGAAAACATCAGTATTTTTCTCTCCAGATTCGTGACTAAACCCCAGAACTTCGATCCAAAATCGGACATAGTTCTAGACAATTCTAACTCATCCTTCCACCATCACAAACATTCGACAATATACCAGCATTTCTTCCAGCTATCCACTGCCTTTTTTCGGTTGTTTGATCTAAAAGAGTCATTAGTCTATTACTTGTATTGATTCTGCAATTATTATTTAGCTGATGAAAATGTCAGCCAATTAGAAGAGGGGACAGCGTACTGGCAAACTCCATAAAATAAGCTGGTGTTCAAAAATGAGTGACCAGGCCAAATAATTATTGATACTATGAATCAAAAATGACTACAGTAATAAGTAATTCATGCAATCATGCAGGTAGTTTTGATCTATTTGAGCTGATGACAAATTCTAATACACTGTATATTTTATGAAATTTCACAAATAATAGCATTTCACATACTGGACCAATATATTCGAAAATCAAATGTACCTGGGCAGGGTACAAAACAGGGCTGCTCCATATCCTGTTGGACCTGCTGCCTCCGTTTGTCTCCACAAAGCTCCTCTTCTACTGGCTGAGGAGGAGACTCAGGCCAGCCGCCCCAGTGGACGACACATGACAGGTTCCTTCTCCGAAGCCCCTCACCACACTCTGCACCCTGCACAGACACGCACACAAAGTTTATATGGACTTTTTACAGATTTACAGATGTGTTCTCATCATATCATAGGTAAGATGTAAGTCGCGAAGCATCTATTCAACTTGGTTTGGCATAATGGATGAACAGTTTGTGAAAGAATGCTGACTGTACGGACTGGTGACTCAGAACCATGAGATGAAAATGACCAACACTGCTAAGAGTTGGGTGTTGTTCCTCTAACTAGCTCACACTGGACTCCATGATATATCTAATAAATAGTTAAAATTTCCTGGTGGCATTTTTGACCTCTAATAATTCTGTGGAGCTGTTTTTTTTTTGGTTTTATTTAAATGAAAGTCACCCTGTTTTGTTTATTTCACGCACAAAGAGGCACATGCAAGTGGGTGATAAGAAACAGTGTTACCAGTCGTGCCACACTATTTCACTGATCAACAGGTGGCAGTAACATGCCAGGATACAGCACCTTGTGCCAACAAAGGTCAAGAACACTGCAAGATAGTTGGCATGGACGTATGCAATGCTGAATTAAAAATATCTAAATAATGTATGAGGAGGAAAACGCAATTAGACTTCAAACATACACACAACACCTTTTAGTGAACAACACTAAATGTAAACATTAGTTTGTCGCAAGAAAATTACACCTTTAATAGAACTATTTTGCGATCTCTAAAAATATCATTTTATCTCAAATCTCTTGAGATTTTGACTCCAACAAAATGTGCACTTCTCTGGGCTTTGACTCTTGTCTGCACATTATTTACACAATGCAAAAAACACAAGGTGTGTATCTATGATGTCAAATACATTTCTTTCCACAGAAAACACATATGACAATTATCTAATCATTTCTGCATTGCATGAAACTTGCATTGTCAACATCCATGGTTACTTGCCATCTGTCATCTTCTTCCCTCCGTTTTCTGGCACGTTACTGCATTCAACATGATATGGTCTTTATAAAACCACTGACAGGAAACTAGCATTGCCCATATGCTTGTGTTTGTGCAAGCACTTGTGTGAATGAAACAGAAACCCACAGGTAAAAATACTGCTCCACATCACTACCAGTGGTCAAAACTCTACCCTTAATATAAGTGGCAGTTCAGTGTGATATCATTTCAAATATTTGAAAAGTAGGCAAAAATGATTAATGGCAAAAAGATAAAATAAAAAAATACTGATGGTTAATAAAATGGTTAGCTAAACCTTTTAGCTAAGGTGAAAGTGGGTATCATTGGTAAGTACATGATACTTACCACGATACTTACTTACAAGTAGGCAGAAATCGGTCATACCTGTACAGTGCATGGGGACCAGTCACTCAGCACCCACGTATAGCAAGGCCTTATGGGACATGGTTTGGTCTGGGTGAGCTGGCTGGGACAGGGACGACCCTCATCATGAGCCTCCTGCAGAATTCTCCGGGTGCGCACAGACAGACCTACAGAACATCAAGGTTGACACAACAGGCCAGAGGAGACTCAAGTAGCCTACATTTGCAAAGTGCAAGCTGCATACATTTTTTGTTCACGTCAGAAACTCAAAAAACATTTTTTGCAAAGCCACTGTGCAGAACTCACAGGACAAACTGCTACAGAATAAGAACGGTGAGTAAAGCACAAAAACACTGGGGATTCATACACTCACTTAACAACATGCGAGACATGGCAGGAGATATAAATGCATCACTGCACAAATATACGGTCCCATAAAATAACACTTAATAAAACGGGTGGTTGAAATGAATGATGGTTATTATTTAGAAATGAAAAGAGGCTGCACATTCTCTTAAGCCTGTGAAATATTTTCCTCATGACAAAAAGGAATTAGTGCAACAGCACAATACATCTGTGTCACTGTGCCACTTTATACTCACATCTAACAGTTTCCTTTAAGTGCTTTGTTCAAGTGAGCTATTAATAATGTGTGACAGGAAATGTTTGGTAAATGGTAACAGTAAAAAGAAGGGGCCACAGAGTGGATTTGGTATATTGTAGAGCAACTTAGTGCCTGGGTCCCATGAGGCTCAGCCAGCAAGTCGATAGATAAGTTTTGTGTGTGTGCGTTATGCCAGGGGAGATGCTGAGCTACACGGGCCTCAGGCAGACACAACAAAAGGACATTCAGCTCTGCCATCTCAAAAATCAAACCCAAGACATTACTGTAACACTCCCGTGGATGGCATCCTGACAAAACAAGATCCCGTGTCATCTGACAAAGTACAAATTCTTCATCAAGGCTGACGGATGTGTTTCACTAAGTGTGAAAATGAATTCAGAGAGTGGCAGAAACAGTCCCAGCAACAGTGACAGAGCTGCGACAGAGTTTTGAGTTTATATCCCCAGTTGTTGAAAAGAGACAGACAACCAATGACAAATTAAAATGAATGAACTTAAGATATTACTGAGCCTCTCTAATTAACTGAATACCAAGCATTCTCTCTGGAAGTTCGTCTTTAGAAGGCCAAAGAAACGATGTGTGCATTCAGGTTAAATTGTTAACTTTGTGTAGTGCACGAGGTTATAACCTGACTTTATCAAAGTGATGCTGAGCATGCACCGGTTGGTGATTACTAATTGCATTTTTTTAAAATCATAGAGTGGTAGGAGGCTGGCGTTTGTTTTTTTAATTTAGTAATACTGAATTATTTATGACATCTATAAAGGTGAGCTGTATAAAATTTTGGTGAAACAAATGTGCCACTAATAAAACGCAACTTCACAAAGTGAAGCTGTGTTAATTAAAAAAAAAAAAGCCTATACAAAATGATAATAAAATAAGGATATTACTTAAAAACACTGTTTCTCTGTATAATAAGGGTTTGGATTACAAATTCTTGTAAATATTTTAATGCATTCAAATGTATTCATACACAATTCAACATCTTGTTGAAAGCTGGAGCAGACGGAATAATGAGGTGCTGCCCGTGTGTGTTGTGTGTCTGTTCATCAGGCTGGTGTTCACACTGGTTGAAGTTTGTTTGCTCATAATGTTTACCTTGACTTCCACAGGTGTGCGAGCATTCCACCCACGGCGACCAATCAGAGAGTACACAGCTGATGGGACAGTCAACAACGCAGCTCTCCGACAGCCTCCACTTGTTGATCTGACCAAACTGTGGAAAACACGGAGGAGGAGAGTTAGCTAATTACTTCCATGAACAAGAAAGATCATATTTACATAAGCAGCTGTGGTGCACTAAGTGTTTAAACTATTTTACCATTAACACTGCTTCCAATTGTTATGGAGCTAGAGAGGCGATCACTTTGTTAATGTTCATTATACATAACACAGGGGCCACAAAATCTCAGCCTTCATGCCAATAAAACTCGGCTGCTACATGATTCTGGATATAACTACAGATTGTGGAGGAAGACCGAGAGAGTCTAGTTTGCAGTGAGAAATGCTGCAGCTACAGTAGTACCGTTATTGGATTTACAATATCTTACAGCATCTTCAAGACCACTATTTATCTCAGTTAAATAAAACAGGAAGAGGAAGGTGTTAAAAGATTAGCTGCAACATTTTCACTTAAACAAATTGGGCAACTGGGCTTTCAATAACGTATAAGCCAGTAGGAATAGAAGAGAAACTGCACTGCAGCCTTAATCAATACTTCATACTTGAAAATACTTTCTTTTGAAGTCCAATATTCCAGTGTTCTTATTAGGGGACTCTGTGATTTGGTGCACAGCCCATCTTACCCATCTCACTTAATCCTTCCTGTATTGGTTCTAAATATGCAGTGTAGGAAAAGAATCAACTGGAAGTCAGCCAGTGTTTGGTTTTAAACAGAAATGGCTGTGCTGTGTTGTTTACAGTGCCAAATGTATTGTGAAAACAAATTTCCCTGTCTGTAGTGCGGGAAAAAAGCAATAATTGCATGACTGTAAAAATGTGATTTTTCACAAACTATAATTGTGTGATCAAAACTTTTAATCGCAGGATCCTGTTATAAACAAAAAAAAAAAATCTTACAGACTACACAATGAATACCTGCTCGCACTTCTCTAACTTCACAATCTTGCCATCACTGCGAATACAGTCCAGGAGACGCAACCGTGAACCCTGACCACAGATGGCATGTTCACTCAGCTGACATGTACTCCAGTCTGCAATACACACACACACAGAGCAACAGATCTACATTAGTCTCACTGTCAGACCAGGGTGTATGCCCATGCCAGTGGGAGCCTGTCAGGTTGGAACAGAGATTGTTCACACCAACGTCCGCTACACGCAACTTATTGTATTTCTACTTTTATCAACCTGCAAACCCGACCATGCATATGTGCCTTACTGCACATTCTTTCAGTTCAATGCATGTCTAATGGGAGTAAATAGCAGTCTGTGATCCACTTGTCCTACCTGAGACTCTGTACTGGTAGGTGAAGCAGGTGCTGTTGAGGGTGCAGAGCTCTGACTGGACCAGCTCTGGACAAGCCGAGTTTTCTGAGGTTGGAAGGCGGAGGATATGTCTACTCCTGTTCCTTGCTGTCCCTTGCTCACATTGCTACACAACAACAGCAGCACAAAAAAAAAGAGACTGTCAAGAGTACAAATCGCTAAGCTCTAAGCTTTTGCAACAACAAATTTGGCTTTAGCAAAATAAATGATTTGTTTTTATCAAGACACTTGTCCCTTTATTCTGTCAACTTTATTCTTGGTTTACAGTACATTGTTTAACCTTTAAAGCAATTTCACCATTAACTTAAAAATAAAAAGGTTTGTTTTTCTATGATAGAAAAATGTGTTTGCTTGATTAAAATTGTAATGAAAATTGATAACAGTTCTTCTGTATTGTATGATTTTAATATAGCAAATGTGTTCTTTATCTTTGAAAACACAATTGAGGAGTTTACCCATAAACCCAAAATTATCTATGTGAAATAGATGATGTAACAAGGGAGGAATGAAAAACTGAAAAAAAGTTGAAAACACACACACACACACAGTATTTACAACTTATTTATACAAATTGATCCATCCATTCATTACCTATACCACGCATTCCTGAATAGGGTCATGGGTCGCTGGAGCCAATCCCAGCTGACATTGGGTGAGGGGCGGGGTCCACCCTGGACAGGTCACCAGTCTATCACAGGGCTGACATGTAGACAAACAACCACACACACTCACTCACTCCTAGGGGAAATTTAGAGTCGCCAGTCAACCTAAGCTGCAAGCCGGAGTACCTGGAGAGAACCCACGCAGGCACAGGGAAAACATACAAACTCTGCACAGAAAGGCGCCGGGTCAGCTCCAGAACCATCTTGCTGTGATACGCTAACCACTACGCCACTGTGCTACCCTATTCTCACTCATTTTATTCTCGTTTTTAGAGTAATGTACACTTACTATAATAGATTGCATCTGCAAAAAGTGATGCAAAAGTACTAATATGTATAAGCATCCTCTTATATCCTTCCTCTTAGGCCTTCGAAAGAACTAGGAAATATGACAACTGCTGCTGACGGTGATCTATACATACTGGATCTCCAGGTTGAATAATACTGCAAAGTAGATAAACTGGGAGAAACCTGAATTTAGTAAAGTATCATCTTTTATACGTCACAGCTGGAACGCAGGTGAAGTGAGTGTGATGATAATTGCAGGAGCAATGAGTTCAACATTTATATTGGCACCGTGATGAGTAGGTACATGTGTGTATATGGGAACAGAAATCTATGAACAGAGAAGCAAAGGATGTGAATGTGGAGGAACTGTCAGCTTGGTCTCTGAGGGAGGAAGAAAGATTAATCTGATTAAAGTCTTTGCATTGAGCTGCATTTGTCCCTCTTCTGCTGATGCATCTGGACGTGCATCTCAATCACTGTCGCCTCCTAATGAGGGTCAGGCTCATGCATCAGCCGCAGTCATTGTAACCTTAAAGTTTTCACACCAACTGTCAGAAAACCACCCACACGCATTTGTATGCTATAGGGTCCTCTCCAGGCTCAATTGTGTCATTGGCTATTAACAGATTAGGACCACTATTTCACACCAATACAAATGAGACCAACAAAAGCCACCATGTTCACAAAATCAAGAAGTATGTTCATTTGTTGTTTACAAGCTGAGTTACAACATGAAAGCACAGTTGTACATCTGTTTCGCATACAGCCATTTCAGTTTCACACTTTAGCCGTCACATACACCACAACGGCACCCACACACTTTGGAGATTCGTTTCCAGTGTTTTTCATTATATAACTAAAACCTGACCTGTGCTAAAAAGGAAGCGTTTATGTGTATGCAGACTCGCAAAAAAACAGCAGAATACTAACAAGTCACATTGAAGCAAGTTGTAACAAATATTCTGAACAAAAACTGAGTAGCTCCTCAGACACCGTGGGTACATCAGTGGATGCATCAGTCTGCTTATTTGTCTTGTGCCCCATCCTCCTTTTATAAAGACAGCACAAAAACATTATCTCCATCACTTAGAACAGCAACCTAGAGGGGACAATTACCTTTTCCCAAAGGGAGCTATGGCCTCATAACCATTTCAAGCTCTGCTGGAGGAAACGGCTTATGAATGGGCGTGGACTTGAATATGAATGTTTGTTAAAGCACAAATGTGCTGTATTTTTTTTTCTTACAGAATCTGTCCAGTATTTGGAAGCCTATGAGGAAAAGTCTGGGTAAATACTACAAATCACTGCTGTTCTAAAACAATTTTAGCCTAATTGAGCTTTACAAATGAAATATCAAGTACTCTGATTCCCAAAAACAAAGATCATTGTGTGGTTTCATGTCTTCCAGATTCAGGTGGCCATTGGTTCCCAGTTCATTTGGCTTGCCTTCAAAATATAAGGTACAATCCCGAAGCCACTAAAATGAATGTCGACAAATGTTTCACTGGTCTGTACAACTGTGTCTGTGAAAGTTGACAAAGCACAGCCTTGGTGGAGTGCAACAACCACTTTACTCAGCCAGTTTGGAGCATACTGTAAATTTTCAAAGCCATCAAGGATCATGCTCAAGATGTCTGAATGTAAACAACACTGTTGACTTATTGTATTCAATGAGCATGATGCAGAAACAAAACAGCTGTTAATGAGCTTTGGAATAATGACCACTTTGGTATTTTTATTAGGATACTTTATCATTTGTCCATTTCAGAGAGTTGTGAAACATTTTACAATGCCCCATAACCGCATTTTTACTAGAAAAGTTGGCTTTAACGCAATGAAAATAGAGGAAGAAAAATCACCGTCCATCATCCACTTTATGTACACCTGTACAATTGCAACACTTCCACCTTAACATTTGTGTTTATGAAGCTCAAAATGCTTCACTTTTTGGTGAAAGTGTCATAAATGTATAAATTCAACTCTATGTTTATTATTGAGGTCATAGTTAAAGGTACTGTTGTACTGGACTACAGTATATTCAGAGGTGTACCTAATATTCTGACCCTCTCATGTACGGGCTGCAGAGCTGCTGCTGCCTGTGATTGTTTAAATGTCAGTGTCTTCACACCTCAACTATTAGCTTTACAAACACAGTGATGTCACATTTCTACAAGTTTGTATTCTGCTTGTTCAACAGCTTTTTGATAAAAGGCTCACACAGTCTCTGCTTCTGGCCGACTGTTACACTATGGAGTGATCCTTCATATCCTCTGTTCAGCTGTGTGTGTGTCAGAGGAGCACAGCCCCTCTCTCCTCTGGACAGAGACCACATAACAAAAATACAGGGAAAAACCAAAGTATCACGGTCCACGTCAACTCATGAGATTATGCTGGGTGACAGCTGAGGGAAGCACAAGGTGTACCACTCATTAGGTTCCGAAATTCTGAACGTAGATTTTGTCCCCTTTGGAAGCCACATCAGCTGATCTCCTTGCATAACTGCACAGCATCCTCACTGCAGCTAGGTATAGGGATGCATTACTATTCCCAGTTGCAGTGGACCAGCATATTTTACACTGCACATCTGTGTTTTTTCTATTTACAAGTTGTCAGTTCCTGAAAATAAGCTTAAATGTATGGGTAGTGTCAATGTGCAGATTCTTTCTTCATTACCATCATTCATTTGGGCCTATTACTATATTCATGCAAGTCACAGTGTGTAGAATAATTTCAGGTTACTAATTTTTTTTGTCATTTTCATTTTATTCTTAACAGGAATGTGAAAAACTCACAACACACCTTTATCTTTAATAACAATGGCATGAGCTTCTCTGCTTCCTAATGTCTAAAAATTAACTGATGTAGCTACAGAGTTTAAGTCAAAACTGCCCTGAATTATTGGTTAAGCCCCGTCTTCTTAAAACATTTAGCAGTTTGTTTCAGACTAGATTTAACTGTAGAAACAAATCATCCATAATAGTTTTATATAGCTGTTAAAATTTAATTGGCTTTCAAGTTAACAGTTTTGGCATTGTTACTGTACATCACCAAATTCATTAAATGACTGCATTTTACTGATGGTAGGTGTGCTGCCAAAGCTTGTGGAAAGACTAAGGGCAACCAGATGACTGTGAAGAACGCTCAGACTGATTAAATAATCTCTCTCTCTGTCTGTGTTTTCCACACTGTTCTTTCTCTGATTCCAACGTTCCACTTCAGTGAACTGTTATGTTTGACAGGAAACCTATCAAACAGCTACTGTACATGACCATGTGACCAGTAGCCTGTGGCTAGATTCACTGGGGAACATATGCTAAATAGTTCCAGCCTGAGGGCCAACCTTCGTTAGAAAACTGAGGCACATTAGCAAACTCAATTTAATTTGCAGTACATAACATTGTAGTAAAAAATGTGATTTCAATCTACAAAGGCTTACAGCACAGCTGGATGAACGAACTCTTTATTGCTTATTAGTACCAGCACCTCCCTGATGTGCAATTAGAATGTAAATGTGTCTTTTTTAACCTTTACATTTACATGAAGTCTGATGAAACATTATGCTCTTCAACCATCAAATAACCAATTATCATTTTTTTAAATAATGGACACACTAGGTGGAGTCTAAGTCTAAGAGGGGGAAAATAATAATAAACTAGAGTTCAAATTCATGTTTAGAAGTTCTTGTTTTGTTTTGACTTTTAATCACCTACTATAAATAATTTATTGATGAATCATTACTGTAGTACATGTCAAAATGTAAAAGAAATGTTATTTTTATCAATTACAAGATGAAGGCATTAGATAAAAGAGCAAAACTGTGACTATGTGTGTTACACGAGCATTCATGATAAATACATCTGATAAATACCACGTGGGCCACGGAAACATAGCCCACTTCCAAAACAATTCACTTGCTCGCGGGCTACTTTCCTGTGGCCCAACCTGTATATTCCTTCTCTGCTGTGGATTACAAACATGTTTTCAGTAATAACAAAAAAGCAAACACCACCCCACAATCTGTCACAAGGAAACACAAACAAAAAAAGAAAACGTATTGCTTCTTACCAGAGGGCAGTTGGTCCAAGGTTCCCAGGGTGCCATGACACAGTCATTGGGGCAGGCCAGAAAGCAGACCTGGGCTCTAGGTGGCATTTCCTCCTGATCACACAGACTGTCCTCCACAGCGCTTGCATCCCCACTCGTTCCCTTCTTCACACACCTAGCGAAGCAGCAGATGCTGCTGTTTAACTAGTCTCTGGGGCACAGCAAACTGGGTCCTTTTTTGAGTTTCAAAACCTATTTCTAACTTTCTGACTCAAAATAGAAGACAGTTTTTCTTTTCTCAAGCATGATATTGCAGGTCATTTATTTTAAAGGGTCTCTGTATTTTGCGCAATCTGAGTTCTCTACACATGCTGCATGCATAGCTGGCCAAGACTGAAACATGGGCTCAAAACGTTTGTTGTACAGTTTTCATAAGAAAAATGACTGAACTGTTTGTTTACTCAAATCACTTCAAATGACCCATATTTTCTGCAGAGCAACTTTTTGTGGTCGAGTAAATGGTTGGTTGTGTTTACAGCCAGCTGTAAAGGCACATTAGTATGACACTGTTAAAACCAAGAACGATGACCAATTGTAGATTGTGACTCGCACTTAAAGTATGCATATGCAAAACAAGACCAGTTTGCTTGCTTTCAACACAGTGACACAGTTGCTCAATTTGGCATTTCCCATTTCTGGTTGAACGGAATCCAACAGTAGCACCTCTACATTCTGCCGGCAGAAAAGGTCATCTGCTTTCTCTGTCACTAAAAAGGCACTGTAAAAAAAAATCTAATGCTCATTAGGAAGCAGTTGTTTGTTTTGACTGTATGTTTTCCATTGGCCTTGGAAGGGTTAGGATTAGTGGAAGTGCCAGCTACAGCAACACTGCCAGTCTACCTCCCCTAGTGTGTGTTGCAGCGCCAAGCCTAACCCACCAACTGACCTGATCTTGCGGCTTTGGACTCCCTCCCCGCAGGCTGGCAGGTCGTCCGCGGTGTTGATGGTACAAATGGACCAGGGCTCCACCCTCCACTCATACTGGCTGCACTCACTGTGGCACGGCACGGCCTCGTACACCTGCGTACGTGCACGTGTAAGCGCACATATGAACACACACACACACACACACACACACACACACACATACAGAGAGGGAAAGGGACATGGCATGAGAGATTATAGGAACAAAATAGCAATATGTGTAACCCTGCAAAAAATGGACACCCATATGAATCAGCTCTCACACATGCACATGGTGGTCTCACTTGCACATTCATTAACATAATAAAAAAAAATCCCCTACACACTAACCCAAAATATCAACCAACAAAACTAAATGCCTAACCTAATTCTAACCATAACCCTGAAACATAATCCTGAAACCAAGCCCTCTGAAGTTGTGAGGACCAGTCTCCCACAAGGTTTGTTGAAAAGTCCTCACCACAACAGTACTGAACTAAAATTTGTCCACACAACCATACAAAGACATATACAGTACTGGCACACAAACAACCGTGCTGCATGTAGAGATAAAAAACAGTCGGTGCATACACTTGTAGCAAATGTAGAATATATTAGGGACACTTTTCACAGTACACTAATGAGGTGTCTCTTGGTCAAAACCATTCTCATGGCTTTTCCTTTGGTAAATCTAAAACAAGTACTTTATCGTGCTTCTAGTTATACACATCTAGATGCTGTTTTATGTGACAAGACACATGCTTATGCACACAATGTGTGCTACAATTCTTTGCTTGATGAATTTGTTAACATCAAGCACACTGTGCAGTCGTGTAGTTATGAAGGAGCATATTGCTTCCCTGGGACGTTTTGAAAATTATATAACTCACAGTTAAAGGAAGAATCATTTAGGGTTGTCAGAGATTCTGGAGTGTAATACTAGGCTTCTGTCCCTTATGTTTTCTACATTAAGAATATGAAATTACAGGAATAGATTGTGAGTAACAGAAATTAAAAAGGAATGTTCAAAAGACAACAACGTAGTTTATTCACACTGGTAAAACATATGCATGATATGGAAAGAAGAGCATGGGGTGTGTAAAACAACAGTGACCATGGCAATAGGCCCTTCAGCTAAGGAATTAGTTGGCTGGGTGCTGAGCCTATTCACTTCTCCCCACTTAACTGGTAACTCTGGCATGTGTGTATAACCAAGGGAGCAGCCAGCGCAATGGTCCTGAATACACATGTTTACTCTCAATCTATATAACAGTCTGCCACAGTAAAAGGTATGCTCTAGAGGACAATTTGTGGAAAAACCTATGACAAGCTGTAATGAGTGTCTGTAAATATGTGTGTGTGCGCACATGTGTGTGTGCACAGACTAGAGAGAATGAGTGTTGAGTATTCCCTCCCCTCAGGGCCACACAGATGCCTATTACACACCCTCATCATCTCACATCTGTCCCTGCAGATGCCCCTGCTGGGTGAATTGGCAATTGCTCTGCTCCCACTTTCTCCACTAGTACTGCAGAAACACAGTTCCAGCTAAAACAGCTCATTTTCATCACCAGAAAAATGACTTTCAAATCACTTTTCTCAATATACAGAATACACTACTTATTGAGTACTAACCCCTTTTGATGACTTAAAAATCAACAGCACCTAACAAATGGGTTACAGTGCCACAACATATAAGGTGTCAAACTGATAATCATTTGTTGGTGGTTTACAGCTGGTTTACAACATTGCACAGATGGAACAGAAAAATGCAGTACTGGCTCCCAAGTACATCACACACATTTATAAGGAGCTCATCACAGAGCAAACAGAAATAGCCTATTATTAAGAACCGCATGCTACAGACCGGATCCCCTCATTGATTAAATGTTAAGTGCTATCTTCTGCTTTTTGCTCTCTTTTTGACATTTCTTATATATTTGGATAAGCAATACAAGAATGATATTATCAGACTCTGCTTCTTTGAGCATACTCTCAAAAGATTTACAGGCTATTCACAATATAAGGAAATCTGAACATTATTTGGTAAATGCCACTCTGAGTCCCTCCAGTTAAGCAGATGGAATATCATCCATCCCTATAGCACTCTCTCCAATCCAACTATTGTTCTTTCTCTCAAACAAAATACCATAAAGGTCACAGGAGTATATGTGACTTCAGCAGATCTGACATGCATTTTGTCTTCATTAGCTAAAGCATAGCATATGTACAGAATGAACGGCACTGACCTGAGCCTGCGTGGATGTCCATTTTAGCAGTGAAAGACAGGCCAGAAGTTGGGCAGAGGAGAGAAGAACAATATGATCATTAGTTTAGATTTTGCCTACAGTGACATAAATGTATAGTTCTGCATTCTGCTCTGTTTCATTAATGAGGGTAAAGGATGATTAAGTACTTCATCATCTACACCGGCTCTAGCGGTCCTGGATATTCGGCCAAACCGAATGACTCATAGTGCTGAGAGAGTGTTAAACTGCTGCTGTTGGTTGCAACAGCTGTGCAATGGCAAGATCTGAAGCTGAAGGCAACTCAGAGAAATTATTTGTCTGGAGATGGTCAGCGGGAAGTTGGTGTGAATGAGCACCTGCTCAGAGGTGTCTGCACCTATTCAAAGTTACTGAAAGTATGTATATTTCATTCATTTCATTTAATCATTCAAGCTATTTTTTGAAATTTAATTTTCACAGCAAAAAGGGGCAATCAAAATAAATTCCCTGACCTAAGACTGTACTAACTTGGGTTGTAAACATGCAACTTTGAACTGAACATTTACTAGGCTCACAGAATGCTTGTTTGAGCCATAAACTGTGAACGTCATGCAGTTAGAAATGGTCATAGCAAGAGTATGCACCCAAGTGATGCAGATCCCTACTGTGTGAATGGAAGTCATTTTCCCATTGTCATTCATTCATTCATTCATGACTATGCAGCTCTGAAGGGAATTAGAAGGATTAGGACAAATTCAAAATCATTTCTGTTTAAGAGGAAAATAATCGCTCCAGGAATGCATGGCATTGAAAGTAAATTGCATTATTATTAAACTCTCTCAACTGCTCTATGAGATAATAATTATAGTTTCCATCCACTAAACACACATCTACAAGGACTAGATGCACACAGACACACAAACAGATGCTGTACTGTAGGTGATGAGCATGTATTCAAACAAAGTCAATATATACACATCCATAAACAAATAAACCCATACAAATACAAAAGGACAACAGGCTCTCCTGCTGAGATGCCATTTTACTGACTCAGAGAGAAAATGAGACAAAGTCTCTCTGCTATGAATCTGTCATTGTGACTACAACTTCAAACAGACTGTATTATTCTTATCAGCAGGCCCAGAAATGGGTTTGAAAACCGGCTCCTAAAGAAACACAGGGGGCCCCTTTGTGAAGATGACAAGTTAAAATGAGCCAATATGCAATACAGCCATTAACACAAGTGTAAGACATCTGTTTGTCCTGTTCTTGCTGAAAACTGAAAGATAAACTAAGATAAGAGAGGATCAGATGACACTGATCAACACATGTGAAATGAGAAGAGTAAGACTGAGGATATCCAAACAACCAACACACCAGCAAATATACTAATGAAAAAAGCAAGTCATATTACTTTGAAAAACTGAATTCATAACAAAAGAAAAAGGGGGGGGGGCATAAACCATTTACAGCTTTGAACTACAAGAAATTCTGTACCAAGTCAACAAATAGTCTGAGTGTTGTCATCTGCTCTTAAGTCCTACTGACACTGATCCCTTCACACTTCCTGACAATTTAAGACTGGGGGATAACACAGATGATCTCCTCAGAAGACCAAGACTCTGCCATGAGAGAATAATGTGATCAAAGGATTCACAGTGTTCTACTTATTCCTTAACATATTGTTCTGTATAAGTGGGTGCAGTCTTTAATTTTACCGTCATAAAACAACGCACACAGAGCTTGCTCTTGACACACATTAAAAACCCGGCCATGTTTAATATCTTTCTACAGCACTGCATTGTAGAATTGTATTAAAATGTATATTAGACACATGTAGCGTTCAATCATCTGTAATCAGTATCACATGAACACCCAAACATGACCTCAACAGATACAACCATAACTACTGCAAAATTAATTTCAATCTTTGCTCATTAACCACTGAGTTGGTTTCTCTCTCTTCCTGGGACATCAATGGACCAAAAGCTTACAAGATTTGTGTCTAACATCCTCCTTAGGCCCCCTACTGTGTTGGCTCTACCGCAGGGCAATGGCGTGGCTTTCCATTATTACGCAAATTATTTGGTCATCAAGCTCTGCAATGATCTTTTATTGAATTCATGTTGAACAAAAACTAGACCTTCATTGTTGTATTTCAGTTTACTTGGTTGCAAGTTCACAACAAATTTGCAACAGTATTGCTTTGAAAAAGTCATCCTGTAATACAGAATGATGACTATGTATTTAATATTCACCCAGTCACTCAATTCAATTTGCTTTTCTAATTAGCAGATAGAAGCTATTATTAACCTTTGTATCTGAAATAAATACTGGGGACCATCTGGATGGCCAGAGGCTTTAGACAGGCTCCAAAATGTAGCCTTACTGGGCGGCAGAACTACAGACTGCTTTTACAATATACAGGATTTGTAATGCAGAGAGATGCCTCACTTTTTAGGGTGAGCCTACAGGGAAATACTAACACATGCCCAAACATTGTGTTAATTACACCTCACTGGCCTTAGGTAGCTCCATCAGCAGTTGGCTCTAAAACTTATTCTAATAAAGGACAGAGATAAGTGTCCCACCTGGGTGCAGTCAGATAAAAAAAGAGAGCGAGACCTAACATTTGTTCACTTTTATCTTTTTCTGATATTTGGTGTTTAGCCATTCTGTAGGCTTGCTGTTGTCAGAGGCTACTGGTGGAGAGACACCTTGCTGGTGGAAGAAAGACGTACAGTAGAAAATTTGGCTGAATTAAATTTGCTGTAGATACTGTATTAATAGTTCCATGAAGATGAATCCAACATTTTGGGGGAAATTATCTTCAGAAAAAAAAACAAAAAAAAACAGCAAACTTGCTTCTCATAATACACAAATTTAAAAAAAATTAAGTTATATTTTCCACTTTAAATGTCACTCTAGATACCAACGTTACTCCTTGAAAGTAAAAACACTCACTTCTGGTAATGCCCCTTGATCACCCTGCTTCAACTCCACCCCCAAGCTACACCCACACCGTGATTCTGATTCTCTTCCTTTACCAGCTGGTACCATGTCATGCTACACCAAGCTTAGATGAGAACAAGCATAAACAGTAGAAGGAATAAAACAATATAATTGAGAAATGCAGCATACAGAGTAAAACAAACACCAGGCAGTTACACATACAAAAGAAGAATGGCATATAAATCAAAAGTTAAAATGGTAAAGTGATGCAGCTGAGGTGTTTATAGTAAAACTTCAAAATGGCACTGGAATAAGGTGCATACAAAACACATTATACTGAATAGCAGCTGTATACTGTGCACAGTTAGCAGCATATAATGATAATGCTTAGTGAAGTACAGGTGTTATGCTTGTCATCGGGTGTTATTGTGGTTCACTGATGATAGTGGTGGTTGTAGAGTTTCAGAACAGCAGGGAGGAGGGCTCTCTTTCAGATATTATAGGTGGAGAATTCTGGCACAGAAAAGGCTGTATGTAGTTATACACAGAGGGTGGACGTTGCTGCACATAATGGCGGATAGTTTGGTCATTACTCTGCCATCCCTACATACAGCAGAGAAACCAATGAACACCTGAGGACAGAACCAGCCTACCTTATTAGTTTGTCTACTATCTGTTTGTTCATAGTCCAAATTCCACTGCCCCACAACTCTAATGTGCCACAGAGCTGTGCATGCTGTACTGTATCTCTCCATGCTGTCAGTCCAGGCCACCTAGTTTGTGTCCTTGCCCAAGACAGTGAATCCTATATTCCAGTCATCCAATGGTTAAGTCAGTGCCACTCAGTACTGTAGCTGGTGTAGTTTGGCAATACTTTGCTCAGTTAGGGCAGACCCATGTCTCCTGTATTACTCTGCATCAGTGGGACACATGTAAAAGCTTTTCCTTTTGGAGATGCAATGTTCCAGATAATAGAAGCATATTGAAAAAAGATAAGATTCAATCAAACCTCCAGTATAATGGCCACATGACTGGTAGGATACAGGCAGCAGATGCTGAGTTCAAGAGAGGCTTGGAGCAAACAAAAACTCTTCTTTGAAATGCAGTACTGATAAACCACAGATGGCCATGAGGGTGATCATAATCCAGCAGTTAGCCCTGAGAAATTCATCCAAGGCTTAACTGTCTAGACCTAATTTATGATATATGAACAACAGTGCAAGCTGTCACACAACCCAATGCTCATTAGTTTACTATGTCTGTAAAGCTTGTACCTACTGACACGAGTAGTCAAAATGTACTGTTGTAATCAATAGCATGAACCTCTTCGATATGTTGCCAAATAAGAAACAACCAAGATAGCAGCACAGGGCTTAGCTTGGCAGCCATTCCAGTGTCAATACTCATGCAAATACCCACGAGCAGATCTGTGGGGAACCAATACACACCCCTCAACAAAATAATACCTACAGTCTAATGAACTGCATCTGACTGCTTTCTAGTCCGTTATTCTAAATAGGCACCACAGCAAAGCTCAATGTTTTTGCAGAAAAACAGCCCGCAGCATCAGCAGCCTCACAGCTGCCAAGTACACTCGCTAATTTGAGTCAAGACATCCAATCACAGCATGCAGTCACTAAGAAAACAGAAGAAGTAAAGCAGACATCTTGGGAATTGGGACCACTGACAAAGGTAATGCATATGTGAGCCATTCAGTGATCAGAAACCCCTGACATGTGCAGGAGGACACCAACTTGCACCTTGACACATGGAAGCACTAATATTAGATCGGCCATTGTGTGTAGTGGCAGAATTCTGTCAGTAGCAGTAGATGGCAGATGTCACAGATCATTATTTTAGAGATTATTTTGTCGGCATGCAAACTTACTGATTGCAGGCTATTTAAGAGCATCGACAGCTGAAGATAAAGAGTGAAGACAACAACAGCAGAAGTTTTATATACTTTGTAGATAGTGGCATAGTGCATGTCAAATGTGAGATTCACATGTAGTGTCTGCCTGAAGTTGATTGGCTTAATAAAACAAAATAATATTAAAATACAATAAGACAGATCCCCAGTGGGGAATTCACAAGCTACCCAGCAATCTGTAAAGTACTACTTCACATTGCAAGTATATAAGGCTATTTGACCCTCGCTCAAAGCCATTCTGGAGATTCTTTTGCTAGGCAGATAGATCACTCATCCACACATGTATGACCCTAAATGGTCCATTCAGTGTACAGTGCACCAGGAATTCACAATAAACTACAAAATAAGAACAAAATGAACATATCTCTACTGCAGCTGACTTCCCCATTGCTGCAATTAAACAAAGTGAATTGCTAAGCAGTATAAAACGTATATACTTACAGATGGTGCTTTAAATTGATATACAAGTGAAGATGGCATGAGTTTTCCTCAATCTCTATTGACATGGGCTTCCCTAAAATGTCTGCACAGAATCACTTACTCTAGGGATGTGAACAGTAGGATAAATGTAAGAACAGTGCTGCCTGGGAGGTGGAACTACAGTCACATCCTCAGCGGCCAGATCAAATGTAGTTAGCTCCACCTTTACCAGTTCCAACATAAAAGCAATGAACACAATGCATCAGTAATTATAATCCAAAATATACTATACATTAATGTGAAATGTGCCATTCTGCATAAAGAGTACTTTCACACTTCAGGTTTTTGATGGTAATACTTGAAGCTTACACTAGAGCAGACGAACAGACTGTTTAACCTGTTCTCTACAACTTTTCTCTTACAGTTTTAGTTTTGTATAGACTAAAAATAACACACACACACACACACACACACACACACCCCAATTCTTCAAATATTACTCCCTCAGAGTATTACTCTTATTAGAGCCACGTGAATACTGCTTCATGTGCAGAAAATCAAACTTGACAGACCTGCTACAGTTGCTAAGAGATGACTAAACAATGGCTGTTCATTCGTTAAATATTGTTTTCAAACCTGTACACAAGATTCACAGGCCAGGGGATAAACAACAGCATGTTTTCAGTGAGGTGGTGCATGAATTCTTCATCTTATTAACTCTTATGTGCTGCGATCAAGATCAAGAAGGTCTTGATTGCATTTTACCAATATAGAAAATCTTACAGACTCATTAACAGCACACATACAATCTTTACAGTTTGTATGTAAAGTATGCAAACTTCTCATTACTTTCATGGCGACACTACCTCCTCTCTCTCCCCCCCCCATTTGTCTTGCTCACTCAATCATGTGATAAGAAGAGGACTGTAAATTTCATCTGTGTCAAGCCAATCACTTCTCACTGGGGTCTGAGGGGAAACAGCTGGTGGGAGTGAGGCCAGACTTTGGCTGGAGAGTAGTTCACAAGGGGGGTGATAAAAGGGAAAGTGTGAGACATTAGGATTGAGAATAGTCTTTGTCACACTGGACCCTAACAGCAACTTAATGAAGTACTAAGCACCAAGTGTAAGTGCTATATGAAGGCTTAACAGTGAAGTCCAATGGCTGAAGGAAAAAGCAGCTTGTTCTGAGACCATGGGGCAAAGTCAACAGCTGGGAGAAGTAACCCCAAGTTATGTGATCTTTTCACCCACACCATGGACAGATGTACTTCACTTTAAATGACCAATTTGTTAATGTTAACAATGAGCCCGAGTCCACCCTCAGGATAAATCCGTGAGGACATTGGCAACAGCAAGCTCCAATTTCAGTGGCAAGGGTTATTATGAGACATTACAACAGGGGCCATATAGACCTTGTTAGTGGGCACTTAACCATCTGTACAAAAATCCCCACTAGAACACACTACAATATTTTTCACACAGCCATGCCTCATCTCCATACTGACCTCCAAAAACTAGTGTCCTTTCAAGCCCATTCAAGCATACAGGCAGCATTCATAAAACACTTCCCCTCTTTAAACCATGACCCCGTGAGAAATATACTGTCACAAAATATTCCGAGCTGTGGAGAAAATCTGACTGTGTAATATCAAAAGCTCCCATCTGTCCACTTCTCCCTATCTAGCACGCTTTGTATTACTAACAGTGCCCCGTTTTTTCTTTTTTTTCCTCTTATCAAGGAAAGGGCATGTCTTTTAAGGCAAATAATTCAGTCTTACTGAAAACACCAAAAAATGAGCAGGTCACCCAGGAGTCCCACTGGCTGATAGGTAATAAACCTTGTCACTGAAGTGTGAGCAGAATGCAACAGCTACATTGTGTATTTATGTAACAGCACTGGGTTGCAACACAATCAGGGCTTGAAGAAAACATATTCCAGCACAGACACTATTAGCATTACCTAAACTCATTTTTCTACATTTACAGTAGGGCTTACTTATTATATATATATATTATGGTGGTGAATATGAGTGGGTTGCCCTCATCTACATTGTACGCATCCTCGGAAACAATCAAGTGGAAAGAAGTGACTTGAGAACAATGCAGATGGACAATAAAGTCAACCCCTTTTACTCACTGTTGTGTCTCAGTATAAAAATTCTTTACTCTCATGTCCATAAACTGTAGATGAGCAAGTGTTGGGGGAAAAAGTATATATATGTTAAAGTCTATTTTGGGGCGGCTGTGGCTCAGGAGGTAGAGCGGGTCGTTTCCTAACCGGCGGATTAGCGGTTCGATTCCCGGCTTGTCCAGTCATCATGTCGAAGTGTCCTTGAGCAAGACACTGAACCCCCAGTTGCTCCCGGTTATGTCACCGGTGTGTGAATGTGTGAGTGTCTGGGAGGTGAATGGCCAAATAGTGTGAAAGCGCTTTGAGTGTGCTGTAAAGCATGGAAAGGCGCTATACAAATATAAGACCAAGACCATATTTTAAAGGCATACTGATAACAAAATATTCAACATATTGTTGTACTGTACAGGATGTTAGATATAAAAGAACAGGTGCAAGCCTTACCTGGTTCTTCAAGTCCAGCTTGGGGCATGGACGTCCTCCATTGAAAGCTTTTTCCCTCAGCCATTTGGACCTGATTTTCAACCCACTGCCACAGGATACACTGCAGGCTGACCAGGCTGACCAGTCGCTGAGCTTACAGTCTAGGGGGCAAGGGATGTGGCAAACCTCCACCATGTAGCCTGAAATTGAACATTGGCAGACAAGAAGGGGAGGCCTGATTTAGACTTGGTCAGCGTCTGCAGCAAAGATCACATTAATAATGTCAGACACACATTCCAGCGGCCTGTGCTCCGCCAGACCTTGGACTTGCTCATCGTGAGACCAAGAGCTAATTATCTGACTAATGAGTGTCTCATTCCGACACTGAGCCAACACGACAGAGTGAAACTGGTTAGCGATTTCTACACTGCATAATTCTGTAAGTTTTCTACTCTTATTTGTTTGCGGTCTCTGGGAAACTTTGCTGGCATTATTCTTTTACACTAAAATCAAATATGCAGACACTGTATGTAGCAACTAAACATTCAAATAAACAGGGATGCAATTACTTTTAATTTCACATCTGATTATTCTGACATACAGTACCTGCGTGTATTGATTATGTTCATCAGTCCCATGTGTACACAACAATATAGTTTGTCTCCTGACAGTAATCATGTTTTATATAAAAAACCGCTGTAACACTGAGTCTAAATCAACTTCCATCATGTAGTTACAGTAGCTACATTCATAATGTAACCCACCTATAAGGCAAGGGCCCTGAGTTTAATTAACTCACAGTAACTATAACTGATGAATCTTAAGCCTGTAATAAACCTCTCCACATCATGTGCCCTTAGGTCTAGAGAGTACTGCATATGATAACCAAACAGGTGTTAAGAGTTAATATTTCTTAATTTACTAAACAGAAAGATCAGGGTAACCTAAACAATAACAACCCCCTTTTTAAATTTCTTTAACTCTTTTCTCTGTAAGACACACTTTTTCAATATTTCAAATAAACACACAAATGTAATGGGCCCACACCACCACACACACGCCCCCCGCCCCCCCCAGGTTCAGGTGCAAGCAGTAGTGGGAAGGTCCGGAGTAGCCGGCTCTATTGTACCATCCAACTGGTCACTCATATAGCACTGTCTCTGATAATGTCCATGAATTCCAGGTCGGCAAAGATGAATCCAGTCTTGGGAGTAAGCCGAGTTAGCTATACTACCGATACCAACATTCATTTAGCTAACGAATGCTAACACGTTAGCTAGGTATGCTACGAAGCTAAACACATGACACTACACAACTGCAAGACAACTCTGTGCAGAAGAATATCCAGTCCTTTAGGACAAACATCTTACAGCAGATCCTCAATCTAAGACACAGTCTACATACTTAGCATATTTCGTGTCGCCAGAAAGCTTTTAGCCATATTTATCTTATGAAATCAACTTATTTATGGTAACTATTGCTCAAAATTCTGTACCGGAAACAAATTCCTTGTGTGTGTAACATACAAATAAATGTGATTATCCTTAAAAGCAAATGCACTTTCTAAGGATGTTTAACTATAATATGTAGTATTTTAAAAAATAGCGAAAGGTGCGGATAAGGTTGGCATAGCTGCCACCGTTGTTATTGTACATCAAAATTCCTTCTTTGATTAATAGACTATTAAATAAATAAAAACGTCTCCAATTGCAGCTTCCCTCTTATCTGAAAATCATATCAATTGTTCCTGATTAGTTACACCAAAACAACAAAAAAGACACTTCCAACACAAAAAGAAAGAAAAGAAGACAACACAACAACAACAACACAACATATGAATGAATGGAGTGAAGCGAAATGCAGATTCAGTCTAATGATCAGGCCAGTAATATGTTGTAGGCTTGTGAAGGGCCAGTGTGTTATGTTATTTACAAATTCAAAGAGATTTCCGTCTCCTACCCGAGTGTGTACAGAGTGTAGGGTTGACCAGGTGTCCCTGCTGGTCAATGCAAGCCACAGCTCTGTATCGCAAACCTTGACCACACTCCTTTACCTCCCGGTGGCTCATCCAGCCCTGCAGGGAACCTGGGACTGAAGGATCAGGAAGGATACAACTCGACCAGTTTCCGTGGGGCTGGGACAAAAACTCCTCACAGGGACAAGCCTCTGTCTCCTCCAGAGGGTACAACTTCTCATTCAGACAGTGTTCCCTCTTTTTGCTGCGACCTGAGCAGAAGATGGACAAAACAATAGTTACTGTGCAATACAACACTGTATGAATAGGGTGTGAAGCTGAGTCTTTTTCCAGAGGATGAGTTGGTTTCTTGTTTATGGTTTACACATTAGTTGATAGAAAGCAAAAACCTACTGTCCATTAACATGGGTTCATCAAACCTGACTGGCAAGGTTAGGACTATAAAATATAAATTAGGAAATGCTGGGAAATCAAACATAATTTTAACTAAATTGGAAACAATAAGCCATCAACATTAACAGTATCAATGAATTTTAGGAAATAAATGGAGTTTATGCACCGTAGATCAGCATGTAACGTTTCGGCATTTTTAAATATAATTTATGCCTCTAGATACCATCTCCATCTCCTTTACTTAATGAGGGTGAAAATTGTTATTTTTTAAAACTTTATGCTAAAGACCTCTGTTACAGCTACTAGAGCTAGACTTTATGCTTCACATAATTAGGCCTATTCATTATAGCTGTTGATATTAATAGATGAGCATGAGCAAGAAACTAACACAACAGCTGAAATATATATGCTCCTGTCAGACACTGTCAGTTCTAATATCTGGACAAGTTGCAGATAAAACCTGTCCATCTGTCCAGCCGCTCAAAAAGCTTTCTCATGATTAACTGTTTGCTTCGCATCACTGAGTAGCAGGCTAACGTCTGAGATAGAAACATCCTGCTGTAATCAACACATTAGTGTTGCTATAGTACACTGTTTACTGTCAGCACCTACATGGCAAAACTGTAACATCTCAGTTTACCTCCCAAAATATTTTGAAAATATCTTACAAAATTTTTCAGATCAAAATAAGTCACAGACACTGATCCTTGAATCCAGGATCAGTTAAATTATTTTAGGTTTCTTTTAGGTTTAAGATACATGATTAAAGGAAGAATAAAACTATGACAACATGAGCAACTGAAAATGAAAATAAAGCCAAAACCAATGGTAAATTGTAATAACTTGATCTCTTAATTTGCAACATGATCTATTCATCTAATGCTTTAAATAGTTAAAAAAAATTGTATTTCTGAATTTCAACATTTATACAATGTGAATTTACATTATATCAGTAATGTTATTTTTTCTTTTTTTATTATTTATTTATATAATCCTCATCAGGATAAGCAGTAAGATAATGGATGGGTAGATATGTATTTATATATGCTTACAGTACACAGTATAGTGGTAGCCATTTTGTTTCAGTTTAGATGGAAAGGTTCAAATTAAAACTGAACAGTTCACTTCTGGTCGCTACTGTGTAGAATCTGGTTGCAACTACATTTACTGCTTTGTGGTTCTCCCCCTCTGCTAGTAATTGTTCAGATGTGAGGTCACTGACCTTGACCTTTGACCACCAAAACCTAACCAGTTCATCTTTGAGTCCAAGCGAACACTTTTGCAAATTTGAAGAAATTCCATAAAGATGTTCCTATCACATATCACAATCACAGGAATGAGACCAACACAAGGTCACAGTGAAGAAATTCCATCAAGTTGTTTCTGACATATTGTGTTCTCAAGAATGCTATCGCCAGTGCAGAGGCATAAAAAAGGAAGATGGTAGCCATTGTATTCACAATAGTTTGCCTTAACTTTTGCATAGTGCAGAGAAGCGGTGATGCCACATCCATCACATATACCCTCAATGGTCCCCACAAGGATTGCTGAATCCCACAGTGTGAATGTGTAGAGGCTTTGGTCCTCATATTGTCAGTAATACCAGGCACCCACACACAAGAAACCTAATGACAAAGCTAATCCTGCTATACTTGCACAGCCCTATTCGTTTCATGGATCCTGGGTGTCCTCAGCCTCCTGTGTGTCCAGTGAGCAGCCCATCTGTTTCTGATGTGGGTCTGACTGCAAACATTCCTCACAGTGTGAACTCACTGGTGTCACACTACAATTCACCAGCAATCTGTTCAATCTACGCCTCTGGTGGTTGACTGAAGAGTACCACTGCTACATCGCTTTACTTTGACAACTACATTGCTGGTAATGGCACCACACCGGCCTACAGGCACCACAAATGATCTGCATTTGAATCCCTAGCATCTATCATGTTTTAAGATGTTGATTTGACCCTCCTGTACCATAATGCTGTGCAGTCTTCTTTGTCTCTGGAGCACTACCAAAGACACTGAAAAGAAAATGTGAAAACGTGGAGTGAGTGAAAGAACCCTGCCTTATTGTGCAATAGCAAGGCTGAGAATATATTAGCTTGAAACTATAACAACAGAGAGAAAATAGATCATTATTCTCCCATTCAGTGAAAAATTAACATGAACCTTTCCTGCACTTGACTGGATGAGTTCACCACACCCTGGTTAGTCACTGGTCTGAGACCTGTCTTGAAAGTGACGAATGAAATCCACTGACTGCTTTAGTAACACTGGTGATACAGTGTCATGTTTCATTTTTTAATCAGCAAGGTTAGTTTTAGTTGGTAATTAGGTCTGAAAGACACTTTATTGCCTTAATAGTTGCTAATTGGCTGATGCATATTTGAACAGGCTGAGTATTTAAATCTGGCAAGGAAAATTAAACTGAACAAAAGATGTTTTCTGACAGTGTGAGGCTATTAAACAAAAGGACCAAGTAAGTTCCGATGCAGTAAATGTGGAGGAGGAACTTTAAGTGGGTGTGAAAATTAGACCTGAATCTCTTCAAAACAAACAGAATGAATCAATTGTTCCAATGATCACAAGAGACCATCTAAAAGGATATTCAAGTATATAACATGTGCTAATATTGTTAACATGGAATAACTGAAAAAATTGCTATTTATATTGTTACATAACTTCCATTTTCACAAGTTACAGTACCTATCTAGTTGCAATGAAAGAAGTCAGTTGACAGTCTTTAGTCCACCTCTCCTGTAATATATACAGCCTACTATCAAGCCCTGAAATTGTGTAAGGAATCCCACATGGAACAAATATGCAAATCCTCGCAGCAGCTAGTGAGCGCTACAAAATTCCTGCTTTAAAGCAACAGTGCTAACTTCAGAGCCACACGCGCTGCTTAAATAGGTGGAGGAAGTCGCATACACTATCTGCTCTCATTCATACCAATGCTGAATCTACAATTTCCAGTTCAAGTGGCTCAAACCATATTTTGGCTATAAAATAGTGACTACATTTTTTTGAGCATCACAAATACCTCAAAATCATTCTTTTTACTATCAGAATTCGAATCACTGGGTCTAATATGTGGAAAGTTTATCTGTAGACTATTTTTAATTTTATGCTATTCATGTGTGCATGGAGCCAACAGGAAATCAGCTCGCTCATCTGGTTTAACTTGGCTAGATATGGGTGCTCATGCTTTATGGGCCTAAAAACATGGAATTGTGTGGAACACCTGGGCAATTTTTATGGCTGAAATCTGGAAGCATGAATTTTTCAGAATATGCACCACCAGGCAATTTTCCTAGGAATGAATAGGAACTGCCTAGGAATGCTGTATCCAGTCCCCCCTTAATATCTCCATGTAGCTGAGCCAGTCGAGAGAGAGCGTCAGCAGGGTCTCTGGGCATCAACATGCTGCCTCTGCCTGTGTTGGTTCTACTAGTCCCACAGGAACCAGGGATGAGGAGTACTTTTAAGCCTTCAGATGTAAATTACAAATGCATCTTATCATGCTGCGAGTTATTTACATGCTAATAAAAAAGTTTGTTTGGTTTTGATGAGCTAAATGTTGTGAATGAGATTGTGGATCATAACCAGGATCATGTTGAATATATCAATACAAGTCTAACTGAATTAAACAGAACACATCCAAGCATGCAGCATGTGAAAAACTAGACAAAATTTTGAATATATCATAACGGTAGCAGCCTTTACTTCTGCCAATTCACTCACATATGCTGCCTTTAGTCCATTCTTTGCTCCACTTATAGGAAATTCAACACACATGCACTACAACTGAACAGCATTTTTGTAAATCAGCCTTTAGGACCTTTTTAAAAATGACACTTAGAACTTACCTATTGTTACACATATCTGCTGTCTCAATGAGCCTTGTCAACATTGCTGCATTATATAAGCAGTCCTTGGTATGCTTCCAACTTTCCTAACCACATATTAGAGCCTAAAATCCACAGTGGTTTTACTCCACATCAAATTATCTGACAGAGAAAACTAAGTTAATTTTAAAAGTAAGACACTGACCTGTTAAAACTATTATGACCCAATGAGTGTGCGCGCACACACTTTCCAAAACACCCATCAGTGAGCTAAGGCTGATTTCATGTGTTGGATCCTGAGAGCACTGTAAAAGGAGCCATTGTACAGTATGTTTACTACAAGCCCTCTGGCATCAGATCAAATATTCATGAAGACAAATAGTATCCTGCCTGGTCTGCAACCACAGCATGTAATTTGGATTTTCCTCTGCACGCTGAAATAAGGAATTACAAGCAGTTAGAGATGTATTTTAAACCTGATATAATGCTACAGGGACAGTAGAAAGTTAGTAACAGAACCAAATGAGAAAGTAGGTTTCACTGGATTGTAGTATACAATAATACTGCAATGACAACGACCATGAGAATCAAAGAATAGAGTTGAGGTACAATTGGGGTACAAGCGATTCCTATTGTTATCCATACTACATAGTGCAGTGCTTTCATGGGGGCCTGAAGATAAACAGCAACCCATGCGCAGCATTACATGCTTATCACAAAGATTAAACTTGAATGATATCTGTGAACATAGAGTAAATACAAAACTGGTCCATAAAATGAAAATCTAATGAGTTTAGTCGAAGATGAAAAATGGACTCTTACAACTTCAGAATTTTGTAAAAGAAAAAAATCTACAATGATACACATGAGGCACTTTAAATACTTATTTTGACAAAGAAGAGAGTCAGAGCAATTTTGAACGGCTTAGTAACAAGCTGGATAGTGCAGCTGCAGTTAAGCTCTTACAGATACACATACAAACTCTGCTCTGTGATCAGTGGCAGAAATAATTCACAGAATTTAAGGTTTACTCAACACATTGCTTCAGAAGGAAATTAGATCAAATAAAGCAAAGGAAAAATGTCTATCCTATCATTGTCTGAACATTGGTTCTAAGTCATGACATCCTTTATTTTGACAGGAAACAGATTCAGACTATAGCAGCATTGGCATAAATGTTAATCTCTTAAACATCACCAAATCATTACCCTATTAATGTTACAACATCAGTATAATTAATAAACAAAGATGCTGTTTTTGAATAAACAGAATTTTCAGTTCTTAACAAAGGGCAACATCATAATTTCAACAGGATCTGACAGTCTTCACTGAGGAAAAAAGCTTTTCATCTTCTCTACCATAGTGCCATTTATTTATTGTAAGTATAGCAAGGTATCAATCAGTTATATAATGATTAAACTTGTTACTTGCAACACTTTTAAAGATGCAAATCATCTGATAATGATCTTATTAGTCCATAAAGGCAGTGACTGCCACTGTGGCTGTGCAGTCTGTATATTGTATCCACACCACACATTTTTAGACTTTTAGGGACTATCTCAGCATGCATTTATGCATAGGCTATATTCATACAAGCAGGGAAAGTGACCTCTGACCACTTCACTGCAGGGGTGATATGAAACCATTCTCTCTGACATAATTGCCAAACTTACTGAAAAGCAGCCGTTTTTTAGCTGCTCGCCCTTTACAGCTTGTGATTTTTATTTTTATTTTTTTATTATAATTTTTTTTCTGCAATAAAACAGAGGAGCTCGATTACAAAAAGAGTTCCTTATCTCCAGCTTCCTTTGCAAAACCAGCTGCACATCACGGTGTCTCTGTTTTAACACGTTTTGAATATTGAGCCATAACATTATGACCACCTGTCTAACACTGTGTAGACAGGAGTCATTGCAGCAGATGGCTGCCACTCACTCTGGAGCTCACTGTGCATCTTCTGTCAAAATGTTGGCACATGTGTCTACCACTGAGTGTAAAACATATGTGAAAGGGGTGAAAACTGGTGGTGAGGACAAGTTAGAGATACTTTTTTAGACAAATTTAACAGCCTCCCCACTCTAGATGTGATATCATCACTATAGCCACTGAATGTTTCTGTTCATAGAGACCAGTGTACAGTATTTCTCATTTTCAGTCATTTTAATAAAGATTCAAACAGCCGTAATTTCCGGACCATAAGCCGCACCCACTAAATGAAAGATGAAAAAATATGTTGTACATAGCCGCAGGTGTCCACATTGTAACATGAGATATTTCGACAGCCAGATCGATCGCCTGTAACTTGAAGCGGCATCATATGCATTTCGTCATGTGTTGTCCATGATGAGGGTGTGTGCATAATGCGACAAAAGTAATGGCTCATAGTCCGGAAATTATGGAAGATGGAATGTTTTGAAAAGGATGAATGATGAAGTTAGAAGTTTAGTCTACAGTAGGTCAACCTCATCATCAGTGAGCCTTGGGCGTCCATGACCCTGTCACAGGTTCACTGTTTGTCCTTCCTTATACACTGTTGTTAGGTACTAACTACTGCAGACCAGGAACACCCAACAAGATCTGTAGACTGGGAGATGCTCTGACCCAGTCGTCAGCCATCACAGTTTGGCCCTTGTCAGAGTCACTCAGATCCTTAACACGTGCCTGCTTTCCAGCTTCTAACACATCAACTTCGAGGGCTGAATGTTCATTTGCTGCCTAATGTACCCCACATACTGACAGGTGCCCTTTGTAATGAGCCACTCAATGTTATTCACTTCACCTTTCAGTGATCATAATGCTATGGTTAATCAATATATATACGGTGTTTCTTGAATCATTGCCTGAGCTGATGTCACCTTATAAACCTACCATTTGCCTCTTTGATACCATAACTTTTAACCTTTTCAATCTTTAGAAGCCTGTCACATAGGCACCAGTTTGACAGTAACAGTTGTGCGATTTCTAAGTGACTTTTGGTGTTATACTCAATCCTACACCTTTGTTTGACTGACACATTAAAGATATCACAAAGACTGTCTTTCTAATATCCTTGTTTTAGCTGAGAAGATACAAGATCTCTTCCTTCAGGAACTCCTGGTCATTCACCTACATATGTAACAAAGCTAAAATTTTGTCTTTTTTGCCCGTGGTAGATGCAGAGACCATGATTTATATAGATTTGTGTCATCCAAATATGATAATTATTACTGTATGTCTGGTTTTCAGGCCTGCCACCTACTAGTACTAAAAGTCTTTGGATGGCTCAAAATGTTGTAGCTAGAATTTTAACAAAATCTAGAAATTTCAGTCATATTATACCAGTTTTAACTTTATTCCATTGGCTCCCTATCTAAGTCAGATCAGACTTTAAGGTGCTTCTAATCACATAAAAAAATCTTAAGTCTGTAGGGCCTTTTCCCACTTTCCCTGGAATAATCACCCTGCTGACATCAGGTATTCAGACTTAGTTCATGGCTTTAAATTCAAACTTATCTTTATGCTTTAATTTTATGTTAGCAGCTGATTACCTCTGGTCCTGGACCAGTTACCATTCTCCATCAGGTGGGTCAGTCTTAAAGAATCTGTTAAATTTAGTATGTACTGTGCATTGTAGTCCACATTGGCCGACAGGATCACTGTAAACTTTCTGCTTCTCTCCAATCCTTTGTTGGTTTGTTCACTCAAGCACATAAGCATCCGAGCAGTCTCTCTCTCTCTCTACCTATTCTCTTCATCCTGTCCTCTCCTTTCACTCAAGTCTCTCTGTGCTAGAACTGTTCTCTCTCCCTTGTCAGTGCTTCATTGTCAGAGGTTTTAAATCTGGATTTTCATCTTGTCTCATTCGAGCCTTTGTTGTCCTGTTGTTTTTCTGTTTATTTCCGTTTCCTATATGTGCAAATGTACACATAGCCTTTATCGCATGTCTGTCCATCCCAAAAGAGGACTGTAAAAGATTTTTTTTATTAGGAAATTTTTTTTCAAGGACAGTAGGTAGCCGATTCCGTACTTTTTTCCTGTGTTGATATCATTACACACTTTTTGGAAAGATAAAACTGTTCTTACAATTTGTGAGTAAATATAGAATTTTTACCTGTGAGTGAGCGTTTGCGACTCCGGGAACTGCCACATCCAGCACACTCAGAGAACTTGGACCATGCAGTTAGAGTGCAGTCATCCTTGCAAGCTAGCCGGCAGTCTCTGATCTGAGGGGGCAAGGCGCCAGCCCATTGCAGGCACTCTGTCATATTGGCTGACTCATCGCTCTCCCCAACGCAACTGAGTCCTGCAAACACAGAGGGAGGCAAGAATGTCACTCCATTTAAACAAAGTTTATGTACTGCTCAATATCGTGGTGTTATAAACAAATCACACCAGAGGACATTAGTATGCAAGTATATGCAGCATGGTTCCCCATCATTTACTCTACAGAGGGAACTTGTGGTAGAAGAAGGACGTTTCCATTGTGACTGTTTATGCAGTGCAGTTCTAACAAGAACACATGTGGGACCTCTAAGTTTTTGGCATTTTATTCTATCACAGTTAAAATTTTAAAGAATAGTGGCAGTAATGCTGCAAATCAAGTGGAACACCCAATTCAAACAGTCCCCAATGAAGACATTTGAATTATAATCTTCAACAGACCTACAGGGTGAGAAAGGAACAGTTCCTGATTCAACCCTGACTAAGAGGAGAGGTAACATATTTATACATGCAATCTGAGTTAATGTAAACAAATTAGTCTGCTGACTGAGGAGAGCGGGGGAGGTGGACAAGCGCACTTTTAGCTTTTTCAGGTGCCACTGACTAGACAAGATCAAGTGAATGCACTGGTTCCTCAGACATGCACACACTGCACAGGACACACTGCTGTTTGACTATGTTGTTCTCTCATGCATGCACGCTATGATTTAAGTAAAGTGGTGAAGGAAATTTCTCCCACCTCAAATGTTTTTGAGGATTCACTGATCTACAAACATGCCTTCAATCTATTTCATTGATTTATAGTTGACTTTTAAATTTTGCCCTTTGACAAAAATTGTTGGATTTCTGCAGAGAATGTGTGGGATGGCCATTTGCATACACGCCTAGTATAAAGGCACTGCAAGGGAGATGATGACTATTATTAATGTGCTTTTATGTAAGATTCACACATAAAAAAGAAAACACTTACATTCACTCAGTGATATTAGGATGAACCTTTAAAGGTGAATGTTTGCTTTTAACAAACCGGATTGAAAAACAGCTAGCAGTTAACAGCTACTGCAGTAGTAGTCCAATTAGCACCACTGAGCGAATAATTATATGTTCCTGATGACATTTAGTTCTACCTATTTACTTTGAATGGTCTTCTCTCTTACCCAACCTGCTCTACAAGTGACATCCCCATTCTGTTATCTCCAGTGTCTTTTATTAGCAGATTCCAGCACAGCAAGTACTGACATGGTGATTTTGAAATGTGTGCCTTCCATTTTTAACATAATTATTCCAGCTGGTGGCCCTTCACATCCTGCCCACTCACAAATAGTAACAATCTTTGTCAAGGTATCTCTGTCAGTGACAGGGATCACCTTTAAATATACAGCTACGGTACTTAGAAAGATGGACATCTCAGGGCCAGTTGAAAAGGTAGGTTTTCAAGGGGCTTATGACACTCCAGGTTTTTCAAAACACCTCTGTGGTAATAACGCACACTTCAAGATAAAAGGTCATTCTTTAAAAAAATCATAATTAGGTTTCATGTCTTTTAATAGCTGTATTCAGTCCATGTTACATTATATCATTTCCTTTGTAGAATGAAATTCTTGATAAAACGATATAGTGCTATGTTATGTATTTGCAAAACGGTTCAAATAATTGTTTAATCTGTTTGACCTTTGTAAAGACTCGACCTGTGGACATGAAATGCTGAGTGAGTAGGTGCAGAGAGACTCAGAACAACAGGAAGTTGTGCAGATACAGACTGAGATGACTAAAAACTGTCTTCAAGAAAAGTTGTATAAGGTCTTATTGTTTTGGCTTCAGATTATCAACATTTATCAACATTATATGTCCAACAACTTTAAGGCTGGGTTTTTCATCCACATAAATCCCCCTCCCATCATATATAATTAGCATGTTAATTCAGTCAAACTGTTTGTACAATATTCTTCTATGTGATGCTTTGTGAAGAGTAATGTGAATTGGAATCATCATGGCCATTAAGTTGCATTTTTCCTGCAGCAAAAGATCATCAGCATGACTCATTTTCTATTTAATACTTTCTCACAACCTTCCCAGTCCTACACAGGGAGGCATAGAATGCGTCCAGCTGGTTATAAGCCACAAGTTGGCTGAATTTAGACATTCTGTATTGTATTTAGTGTGGAATCCATTAGCACATTTCTCGCTCCAGGTTATCTCACACACTTTCCAGAGCTGCTGGCTCTTTTTTGGCAAGGTCAGAATTCATCTTCTCAAATCTTCATCTCATCAAGTGCCTCTTTTTTGTGACCTCCAGCATGTGAAATAAGTCTGTGTACACATATTTTCAGTTCATTCTACACTTGGTCAGGCATTAACATTCATTTACCATGTAGCATTGGGTCCAACATGGAGCCAGACACATGCTGAGATGGGAGTAAACACTTACTCAAGCCAAGGGAAACTCAGCTTTGTACAATCCCAAATCAGAAAAAGTTGGGGTGGTATATAAAATCTAAAACATTATTTTCTGTTTTAATTTAGATTTTACAAACCATCCCAACTTTTTCTGATTTGGGATTGTAAACCATAAGCCCAACTGCATGCTTGTTTCTAAACTCTGACCATGAATCTCATCTCAGCGTACAGGCCTGATTCTGGGGACACAGTGTACCCGGCAGTCTGACTGGTTTTAACTGGGCTGAACTATTCTGCAACTGCTATGTCAATATTTCATCATTGCTAGCCATCTACCAGTTTCCAGGGGCTGCATAGTATTTCTACTATTACCATGTTTCAACCAAAACCTTTGTAACTCACAGCAGAGGCAACCTGGCAAACAAATCACTACTTACCTCCAGGAAAAAAGAAGTTTCTACAGTGGTTATGTGCCTGCTGTGGTCTCTCATATAGTATTACTGTAGCTCAGCCAGAATGTAAATGATGTAAACAAATACTCAGTATACTTAGAATTATGAGTTAAACAGTACAGTCAGACCAAAGTTCACATGATACAAATTTTGTTTTGATGCATTTACATCCTCCACATCATGAAGATGCAAGCCCCCATTTCTAAAGTAAATGTGGGAAATGCTGGCATTTGGAGATATTTGGCTCAGCATGAATACAAAGTAATTGGAAACATTAAAATGTAGAACAAAGGCAGATGCACACTAAGTAGCACAAATAGAGGCAAAAGTTAACTGAAAATGTTGCGACAGCTGAGTTTATGCAAACATCTGAAATCAGCCTGGCTGAGCTGTGTCAGACAGAGTCACTTATGACCACAGCAATTGAGAGCAGTCATACAGGAACACTTTCACTACATGTTTGTAACCAGAAGACAAAAACATAATCACTCCCCAAAGCTACAGTGCTACTCTATAGGACAATCACCATGTTAACACTTTATGCTGAGCGTTTACAGACCTTATACATAGCACTGACAGGATAACAATATGGATCAGAAGTACACATTTTTTCACAGATATTTTATTATTAAATTAATGTATTTTGTGTTTTTTTTATGTAAATCTTTTCTAAATGTTTGATTCCCATAATTAGTAGTTTACAAATTAGCTGGTAATTACTTATGTCACTTTTAATTTTTATTATTTACACATTCTTCTACATGATTATTTTATCATTAACTAATCATTTATTAATGAACTGCAATAGTTTCATGAGACAGTCTGACCAGTTACCACTTTTGTTGGTCTGTTTAACTATTCAGCAAGCAAACAGCATGCTGATGAAGCAAGCTGCTCTGTGGCTTCCTCGTGGATTACATCTATTACTCAGAAGGCTTATTTCCCACTACTCTTAACTGCTGTTTAACTTGAATGTCTAATACTGACAGTAAATTTAGATTATTTCTTTTAAGGTTGATGATGATGTAAGAAAAACTAAGGTATACTAGTTGATTTTAGAAGAACACAGAAGAACATCCGTGGCACAGATATTGATGCTGTAACTGAGTCTAAATATTTGGGGGCTGTTCTTGATAATAAGCTCTGTTTTGAGACTAACACAGACACAATCTACAGCAAAGTTCAGCAACATTTCTTCTTCCTAAGGAAGATGAACTTTTAAGATGTGCAAAGTATTGCAACTGTATTGTAGTCTCAGTTTGGTAAATAAAATCAGGCTGGTCAAGCTAGTCAAGGTGACCAGTAAGGTGATGGGTGTGAAGCAAGCCTAGCTTCAGGATATCTTGCTCAGAAGATCATCAACTGTCCTAACCACCAACTTCATAATGTCTTTGAACCTCTGGTTGTTGCCACAGGATGTCAAAAACAAAGGCAAGACATTTCAGACTCTTACACTTCAGGAGCTGTTGGGAGCCTGAATCTCTTTATGTGGTGAGGATGTGTACTCGCACTTCGTCCAGCTCTGCCTTGGGGATTGTACTGTTTTTTTGTTTAGTTTTTTGTCTAAATTGTTTTTTGTCTACTTTACTGCCTGGCTGCAACTTCCTTCAGGATAATAAAGTTGAAGTTAATATGGATACATGGAATGTTGCTGTGAAGCGACACTTCTACTGAACATATCTTGCCAGATGATTTGATTGTGATGTAATGGGAACTGTGCAGTATTTTAAGGCTTTAAAAATACTGCATTGTTATGACATTTCAATAGTTAAAACCTTTAATGATACACTCCTTGACCGACTCCGTCACTGAGTTTTGAAAGTAAGAATTTAGATGGATGTATAGATTTAGGGGCATTGTTAAGCACTATAATACATTCCTGAAGAATATCTTCAAGCTGTCATGTCAAGCCTACATTTTGTGATTTTTTTTCTCTGTGACCACTTACCGCCAATACACATACAATATAAATGACAATAAAAATACAGCAGATGATTTTAAATAAACATCTCATGCTACAAGATGCTACAGAAGAAAAATGCAGAGAAACAGCCAGCCTGTATTTTTCACTGTATTAAGACAAGTGCCTGACATGATAATGCTGCATAACTTTGTGGTCTGTATTCAGCTTTTCAATGAATGGAAATATTTCACATACGCTCCCACAGTCACTACAGTGAATACTGATACATGGGGGGAAACTGCATTGTTGAATAGTGGGAGCATAACTGAACTATATCACAAGGAAGTCAAAACTTCATACAGAAAAGCATAATATTACTGTATCTTCAGCAGACTGTATTAAACCTATGGCTGAATGTTGGTGGATAATCAATTAATAAAGGCTCTGGCAGAGCAATTCTGGATCTATATAAGGTCTTTGAATTAAATAATTGAGGAGCCTATGCTGTAACCTGGTGTGATTAAATCTTTGATAGGTCCTTATTCAATGTGCCTGTGCCCCTGATATGGCCCATTATTATTCGGTCCTAATTATCCCCCATTTTGACATTTATGTGACCTATTCTTTGAGCCATTCACTCACTGAAAAGTAAACTTTAGATAAATTCTTTGCTGTTTAAAAAAAATTGTTTTCTACCAATTGCAAGTTCCAAACTCACGCTTCATTTTTCAGAATGTCAGAGGTATTTAACTTAATCATTTTCTAATCATATTCAAACTGGAAGCTCTAAAGGGCAATGAGGTGTGTGCTTAACCTGGGAACACGACAGGTACTTTTCCTGTCCTCACCAAAAAGTTATACAAACTCACTTGAGAAATGTCAGTCATAATTATACTGCCAAGTAAAAGTCAGCAACTGTGAGAGCAGATAATGCTAGAAAGTTCTCAGTGCAAGACATTAAGCTACTGAAAACTTCAGTTAAATTGCATAGGAAAATCAGACAACAGCCAGTTTCTGTATTTCCTCTCAACAAGTCTGAAATGACCTAATTACCACTTTGGCTTTTTAATAATCCAAGCCAGTGGCAGCCATAAAGGACAGTGCACTGGACTCTGCTGGTAACACACAGCATATTTAAACACTTACAATCAGTTAGGAGTGGTAATGACAGGGACACAATCCAATGAATCTAGCATTGTACAGGTACTGTAAGTCTGAAATATGGGTCATAATGCCCTGCAGTGTGCAATAGCATCACACTGACTAACATTTGCACCTCAGATTAAACCTGTACTGTACAAAAAGTGCCACCATTTAATATTCTAATCACATATTGGCAAAGGCTGCCAGAAAGGTAGAGATAAAATGTCAGCAGCAAATCACCTCAAAAAGAGCAAATAAGGAAAAAAACTGCAATATCATTTATTCATCCATCCATTATCTATACCATTTATCCTGAAGAAGGCCATGTGGTGGTGGTGGGGGGGTCGACTGCTGGAGCCAATCCCAGCTGACACTGGGTGAGAGGCAGGCTAGGGCCCTGGCAGGGCGCCCGACAGGTACTTTTCCTGTCCTCACCAAAAAGTTATACAAACTCACTTGAGAAATGTCAGTCATAATTATACTGCCAAGTAAAAGTCAGCAACTGTGAGAGCAGATAATGCTAGAAAGTTCTCAGTGCAAGACATTAAGCTACTGAAAACTTCAGTTAAATTGCATAGGAAAATCAGACAACAGCCAGTTTCTGTATTTCCTCTCAACAAGTCTGAAATGACCTAATTACCACTTTGGCTTTTTAATAATCCAAGCCAGTGGCAGCCATAAAGGACAGTGCACTGGACTCTGCTGGTATCACACAGCATATTTAAACACTTACAATCAGTTAGGAGTAGTAATGACAGGGACACAATACAATCCTTATGCTGCAAACAGTAATGAATCTAGCATTGTACAGGTACTGTAAGTCTGAAATATGGGTCATAATGCCCTGCAGTGTGCAATAGCATCACACTGACTAACATTTGCACCTCAGATTAAACCTGTACTGTACAAAAAGTGCCACCATTTAATATTCTAATCACATATTGGCAAAGGCTGCCAGAAAGGTAGAGATAAAATGTCAGCAGCAAATCACCTCAAAAAGAGCAAATAAGGAAAAAAACTGCAATATCATTTATTCATCCATCCATTATCTATACCATTTATCCTGAAGAAGGCCATGTGGTGGTGGTGGGGGGGTCGACTGCTGGAGCCAATCCCAGCTGACACTGGGTGAGAGGCAGGCTAGGCCCTGGACAGGTCGCCAATCTATCTCAAGGCTACTATATTATTTATTGTATCATTAATTCATTCAAGTACATTTTTTAATGCAAGCAGTGATTTGTAACAAAACAAAGTGTGATACCTGTAACTGTTTATCACCATAATTGTATTGATACTGTATGTACTTCATTGCAAATGTACTGTATGCACGTTTTGAGTATTGTTACCGTATGCATCATGTGTACCCTACAATCCACTTAGAAAAATGTTGCAGAGGTAACTACAAAGTCACTACACAAAATAAATAAATAATGATATTACACAAACACACATGCGTTGCACTCTTTGAGCTAACATTTCTGTTAGGAAAGCACAAAACTATGTGCATTCATTTGTTTGCATGAAAACATTTATTAGAAACTATTTGTGCACTGAGTGTATTGTGTGTTATAGGGCTGATTATTTCTTCCAACTTGCTGTGACCAAGAGGTGCCTGTGACAACCTGACTTGCTGCCTTCATTAATAAGAGTCCAGTGTTGTGAAGGGACCATCAAGACAACAAAACCTTAATTGCATTACATACTCTGGACAAACTGCCTCTTCCTTTTACAGTTCCATCACTTACTTATTAAAAGAGGAGATCTGACTCTTTGTCTCTTTGACTAAAGAAAGTAAATACAAAGCTGGTGAGTTGATGTAATAGGTCAGCGATAATACTTGCCTCTTGTTTCTAAACCATTTCCACAGGCTTCTCCTGGTCCACCCAGTCCACGTTGAACAGAATCTGGAACCAGAGTACAGCTGTGCCACTTGTGTGTTCTCCACCTGCACAAAAACACAAAGACAGGAAGATTTAAAATGCCAGTTTCGTTTAAAAGGCAGGCATAAGTTTAATATTTTTCCTCACAGTTTCTGATTTGTAATTGGTGATCTGGACCACATGTAGTCAATATGCGACCTCTATATTAGCAGGAACAATTGTAACTTGTTATACAGAATATGCCACTAAATGTGCCAATTTATGTAAGTCAAATGATCAGCTGGGTTGGCAAATGTTGAGAACACTGCTGGAAACAAACCTATGTGATGCATTTGGCTATTGTTACTCTGAAAGTCTTTTCATTGTCACTATCATACTGTGGCCGTGAGATGTCAACTCACTGCAGCCTAAGAAAACACATTCAAATAGATTAAACGCAAGTAGATTAAAAAAAACATTTGATAAACATCAGTCTGATAGCACATGCTGCATTTTTGGTGGAAAATAAAGCTACTATTACAAATGACACAGCCAAATACAGAAACACAGTGCAAATACAGAAAACTCATCCAAATGCAAACAACACAGAATACGACAGAAATGTTTTAAGGGGGCACCAAAAAGTGATGGGCATTGCTGAGACACGCTTATTGTTGCCATAATCTGTCACTCATAAAGCTACTGAAATCAACCACTGGTTGTCGGTATTTTAAAATGATCAAACTTACATTTCCTATTTGCAGTGTGTTTCTCTATTCTGTTGTTTTTGTATTTGCAGAGATTTTACTAAATGCTGCACATGTTGTCAGATTGGTGAGAATGTTTTCTAATGCGCTTGTATTTTCTTTGTTTCCATGTGTTTTGTTAAGCTGCAATGTGTTGAGCTCTCAGGGCCACCGTACTATCGGCTATAGTCACCTGCATTTTCTGGAGTATAGGAATAAACAAACATACACATCTTAGTGATCCCTTAGGGAACTCCCTCAAACTGATTATTCACTGCCCAATTTCATTTGCATTAAGTATCCTTGTATCAATTGTACAATGTTGCTGAATGCCTATATTGCTTTTGGAAGATAGACAGAGACTGAGGCCTTTATTGTTTTCTGTGTTTGTTTATTTTCTTAAATGTTTGTATCATGCATACCACATCAGTGGTAAATTATTAACATAGCAAATTATGAACCATAAAACCGCCTTATGATTAAACCCCCTTTAAACACTGTAACACCTATCTACTTTATTTGATTGATTCAAGATTTACATAATACATCTAATTTGTTTCCCAATTTCAGTCTGTGTTCGGTCGCCACTCCATGTTTTCCATTCCATGTTGGACTGTATCTCAGGTCTCAGGTTTTGGACTCATTCTGCTGTCGGTTCTCGCTGCTTGGTTTAACTGCCTGGACTGTAAGTAAGCCTTTGATTTATGCTTGTGCTTAAATAATTATGGTGGTCTCATTATGAGACTGACTGCTAGCCTGCATTTGAGTCCTTTCTGCTTGCCTACTTTGTACAAACCCAATTTGTAATGATTTTGATTAGTATAAAGCCTTCTAACTGTTCCCAGCCTGCATCTCAGTTAGCACTGGGCCTGCTAACTGTTGTCCCAGTGCAGCTCACATTTGGCCTGCTGGCTGTGCCCCAGTCACGCCAGTTAGTCAGCCTGTTTCCTCGTCTGTTAGCCACTCAGTTGTTCCTGTGGATAGGATTAGGCCTGCTGGTCCTCAGATAGCACTAATCCTGTCAGATCTAGCTCCTCTCTTGTACCTTAGCTCATCAGCATACAACCTGTCCCTCAGACAGTTAGCACTAAGTTTGCTAACCATCACCCTGCTCCACAGCCTACCTTCCAGCAGGGACTCACAGTGGACTCACCACTCAGACAGGGAGACACCCATTATCTTAGCTGTCCAGCATACCCAACTTCAGATCCAGCTGCGTAGCACACCCAACCTCCAGGTTCAGTCATGCAGTAGACTCGAGCTTTGGTTCCAGTCACACAACCCACTATAACCTTTAGTTTGCTCATTAAAAGCATGTAAGCCTTTGAGCTAGTCACACAGTGCACCTCAGTCTTTGATCCATTCAAGCAACACACCCAAATTCCGGCCCATACCTGCCAGCGCACTTGAATTCCAGTCCCTTCCTGTCAGCACACCCAAGTTCCACTCCCTGCCTTCCTGGACATTGTTGACTGGAGCAGCAGATCTCCAGTGTCCTCGCAGTGAAGCAGTAGCAGTTCTCCAGAATGTTTGCAGCGCTGCAACAGCAGCAGCCGCTCATTAGGAGCAGTAGCAACATCTCTCTCATATCTCCAGTCATCCTGTACTCAGCCTTTCTGAGTCGCAGCCCTCCTGCACACCAAAGTCGCAGTTCTCTTGTGCCAAGAACTTCATCCAATGCCACATCTGTTGATTTCCCTGAGCCTGTTTGTGGGTCAGCAGTCGCCGCTGACACCACGCCTGTTCTGTCACTGGGTTAGCTGAAGTTGCAGATGCCATGCCTGTTCCTGATCCCATTCCTCAATCAACCTCCCTGGCCAGCACCCCACTTGCTGTCCACCCTGCTCCAGAGTCAGCCTCATCCACCAACATCTCTCCTGGTCACCAGTCTGCCATCTGTGATCTGCAGCCATCTGCTTGTCCTGCACTGAGCCCCTGCTACAGGCTCTACCTCCACAGTAGTCCCACCTTCTCCGTGACCTTCACTGCCTGCCTTCTGCCCATCCTCCAGAGAGGTTCTGCCTTCGTCCACTTACTGTATCCAAATTTGTTCACAGGAAGTGCAATAAAACCGAAGCCCCCTGTAGTAATAAACAGGCAAAATCCATGCTAGTACTGGGTAGTCCTAGTACATATTAGTTTTTGTATACATCAGTATCATGTGCTATACTAACCAACCAGATATGACAGTTAGTCATAGATGTAGTTTAATTGTTTAGTAGGCCTCATCAAAACACTACGCTGAAATGTCACATGTTGGTTACACTGTCAAAGCTGTCATGTACTTTGTCCAGTTAACAAAGCTAGTGAGAATGCTGGCAAAATCCGAGCTAGAAAACAAAAAGCACTTTTCACCTTTTAGATTTTTGTTTAGTTTGATATCTTAGACATATACAGTAGTGCATGCTATATCTGTACTGTTACTTTCTGTTTCCACTATATAACCCTTTATCTAATGTTAATTATCAAGGTTGTCAGTCAATAACTTTGACCTTATTTTATTGGATTAATATAGTAGAAATGCTTAAAAAATCTATTGAACTTTAAATACAGCCATGTTTAACATTAGTAACATTACAAGTAAGTATCTGATGTTAATGCCATTATAAAAGTATATGCATACATCTGAAGTCATTAATTGACCCTTGTAACACTTAGTATTCAAAAACAGATGACGATCACCCTGTACGTTTATGCAACAGATGAATAAAAACAATGGGAAACTGTTAGTTATAAATGGTGCTTTTACCTATACACTGGACAAACAAGTGTTTCACACTCCCTCTCTTCATACAGTGTGTCAGGACACTCTTGACCTCCATTAGCAGACCTCTGACTGATGGTCCTGTATCGAGACTGTGTGGCAGCAGTCGCATTTTCTGTAGAACATGGAAAAACAATCTTCACAAAAAGGAAAACATTTAAGTGAGTGTTTTCTCTCAGTGATAGGGAGAGAATGTATTGTACTGTATGGGGCACCAAATAAATATCACTATAATGCAGTCTTATCTAGAAGAGATGGCCAGAAAACAAGTGGCCTTAAAGTTGATTGGATCTTGATTAGTGTGTCCTTGTGGCTCCAATGTCCTCCACTTGACTGCAGTTTGTTTTCGGACACAACACAATGTAATGGCTTCATTTGACTCAAGCTCCAAGGCTCATTACACAACACTAATTACTCACTGCTGAAAACAGTGCAATTAATAACATGATTACATCATCAGCAAACCCAGCTGACTACAACATATTTGCAGAGATGAGATGCCTGCTTCATTGTTTTAAAAACAATTACTTTTTGATTTCCAAGATACTTACGGTACATATATTGAAACCATTAAATATCCATTTTCCTCTTGATGTGTCAGCTTAATATAATGGACAGTTAACACTGTCATTTACACTTAAATGAAATCACTGAATACACTAGATACATGAGGGGAAACAGATCATTGCAGATCTTTTTTTTTATTTGTAAAACATCAGAAAAAGTGAATTTTACAAAATGCAAACTGACATATTAAAATAGATTTTTTGTCTGACCAACAGTCCAAAACCTAAAGACAAAATGCTTATTTTAACAGAAAACAAAAATAACCAAATAGCAAATATTTACAGTACATTTGAGATGCTGGAACCAGTGAAGTGTTTTCATTAGACTTAATAAGTTTACAACTCTGCCACAGCTGTTAAAAGATTTTAACACCAGGATATATATATATATATTTCAAGCCAGATATCCTGATTGGTTGCAGAGATATTAGACAGGCATTGCTAAAAACGAGTTAACAGAAATTCATATGAACTACCTGGCATACAGGTTGATGGGCAGGCTGTCCATTCACTGAAGGGTGTCACGGTGCAGTCTTTCTTGCAGGGAAGGAAACAGGGTCGGACAGTTTCTGGACGAGAAGACTCTGAACACCTAAGCATACAGACAAACAGTGGTTTCAAATTCTCTTTATCCCCCAAAGTGATGAATGATAAACATCCTGAGTCTCACAGGCAACAGGACAGTGCAATGCAACAATTGCTCTGTCCTTGACATCACACATTTCCCCACGGAAAACATGATTGATTACACCTCCCTGCCTTCACACTCAAGCAGAAGGTGGACAAATAAAAAATAACATAAAAAATAGATTTCTCACACATTCTGTTGCTTCCCAGGGTACAAATATTGCTGTATAGAAAGAAAAATCCTCCCAGTATTAAAGCGACCAAAGTACTTGCATGGTTTTTAATATGTTGTCAGTTTTAAAGCCCAGCTGCCTTAAAGCAGCTAATCATATTTTTATACTAACAGTAGATCTTACTAGTGTGAGAGGTGTTGCTCATATTGACAAAACCACAAAGATTATCACCTGACTTCACACTACCTGCCTAGCACCAAGTAGTAGACAGACAAGCTATTGACCAGCCGGCACTGGTGGAGACCAAAGTAAAGACCAATCAAAATGAATGATATGCTTGCACCTTGTCTGCTGGATGTGGCACTGTCAGAACTGCCCAAAAACAACACTCAATTGTTTCTTCTTATGTATTATGTGCATAAGATTCTTGAGACATGACTACTTGCATAGATATATCTTTTTTTTTTTAATAAATGTAATTAAAAGATATACATCCTTAAACATTACATTCAAAGCTTTGATTGAGCTGTGCTGTGATAAATATGGAACAAAAAAGATCCTTTCCTGGAATTAAAACTCAAAATAATAAAACCACTGGGGACCTGCAGTGCATGAAGCTTCCATGTCTAGCCTATACATCATTCACAATCTGTTCAGTGAGAATAGTACTCAAAATGCAAATCAGAGGTCATTTGTCATTGTATTTTGGTAAATGCTATCGTGCAGATTTATTTACAAGTGATTATTTTTCTGTTAAATTTCTTTTTAATAAGTTATTTGATGATATAATAATAGTTGATTTGACAGTTTTCATTGGTACTCTGATGCTGTCACTCCACTTCTGGTCACTACTGCACAGAATCTGGTTGCAACAAAGCAAGATGGCAGCTGCCATATTCATGGTAGATTAGCTTCACTTTTCCATAGTGGAGGGAAGTGGTGACACTATGTTCATTGTATATGTGTCAATGCATTGCACTCAATGCAGTGGCCCAGGCCACGGGAACAGTCGAGTATTAATTCAATGGTTTTTTTTTTCTTTTTCTTATTACACAAATCAATCATATATTAGAATTTTGAATATTTGTTGGCAGCCCTAGCTGAATGTGTACACACAATTTGCTAAGAATTGTTAATTTTACAAGATTTTAAAATGTCAGTGTTGTGTTCTCAACTCACAACTGCCCCCAGGTTACCAAAAAACAAAAACAAAACTGTTAATGTACCTTTAAAAATTAATAATATTAATCAATACTAATAATCTCTTCATACATTCTTACAGTACATTTGTGTAGAATGAACAAAAGCAAACAAAAATACAACTACTGTGTAGCTATAAACACGAGAAACATTTAGCATCACAACCAGCCAAGTATGTTTTTCTCCCTATATACATGTCTGGAGAAGCCACAGTAGTTTTTTCTGGCCACCAGGGAGATAGAGTATTCTGGAAGAAGAATCAGTCAATGGCTGCTAATTAAACCTGAGAACAGCAAGAACATGCAAACTGTTTATCAATAAACCCTTAATGACATGCTAATGACAACATTAGCAGGTTTTAAGGAGAACCTTTTTCACATTTACTCACTATTTGGGTCACTACAGTACATACCTGGTGTAACTATTTGTAATGGGCCTTTTGGATATGTTGTATTTTGCGTGTCATGCAAACTTCAAGTGGATTAATGCAGCAATGTTAAATCAAAGAAGTCATATACTTTGATATCTTCATCAACCACCAGCCAAACCTGGCTCCCAAATGCACAAATATACAGCCATCTCTCTCTATCTTTTTTTTTTGAGTGAGTGACTTTCTTTGCCCAACAACCAGATCCAAGTCTCACTAGAGACCCAGCATGGTGCCACATCCTCCCGACTGCAGAAAGCCAGCATGCACAGAAATTAGATCAAAGTATGCTAAAGCAAAGGAGGCAAGATACATAAAACCTATCCTTCCCCAGGTTTATCCCTCCTCTTCTCTCTCCCTCTTTGCAGTGATGTATGCCAGAGGGCATGGCAACGCAACAGAGCAGGTGGGGGAGTAAATACCGTGTGGTATACTCAGAACTAGAGAATCAGACTTAGAGTCAAGAACACCCTGTGCAACTGTTGGGTACATTACATTTCTTATAAGAGGGAAAGGATTCTTTATCAAGATAAAACTAGTGATGCTAATTTAGAGTAGAAAAACACGTGATGTACTTGTTGAAAAGCTAAGAACACCACTCTTGTTGGATGTTGATAGAAATTTTTTTTTTACGAGACTTGGAAATGATTAAGTTATTATTTAAGTGATACATGTCCAAATCTGCATGAAGATGTGAAACCCTGCAATAAAAATGGCCTTACTAGCATGTTGATTAAAGACAATATGAAATAATAAATCTTGTTATTCTAAATTTGAAATTATAATGTAGGATAGAGAGGTGTTGTGATTTTTATGGTGGCTTATTAGAGTAGCATGGAAGAAGCAGCTTGTTCCTAAGTTATGGAAAACAGCAGGAGGGATTTTTATCCCCAAGGAGAAAAATTCAGTTGAAGTAGGGCAGTTTAGGCCTATTTGTCTTCTGAATGTAGAAGGCAAGATTTTCTTCAGTGTAGTAGCCCAAAGTGCTGTTGAGCTATCTAGGAAGGAATAAGCTTATTGACACATCAGTGCAGAAAGCTGGAATACCAGGTTTCCCTGGATGCTTGGAGCACACAAGTATGATCTGCCATCAAATTCAGTCAGCAAGAGGGAAAAAAGAGATTTCCATGTGGTGTTCTTAGATCTAGTTAATGCCTTTGGTTCTGTACCACATAGCCCACTGTGGGAAACACTAGCTTATTTTAAAGTACCAGACTTAGTTAAAGGGCTAGCAGAGAGAATATTTTATATCCAGATACGTTTCACAACAGCAGAGTGTACTACAGCTTGGCAGAAAATTGAAATAGGCATCACGGCAGGACTAGTGTTGACCAAGGCAATGGAAGTTAATATTAGGGCATTTAGATGAGTTGCAGGAGGAGGGAGACATCCATCAGGGCAACATTTGCTGCCCATAAAAGCATACATGGATTACATGACAATTATCACCACCACAGCACCATGCACCAAAAGGCTATAGGACAAGCAGAATGCAAAGTTAAAGTGGGCTAGAATAAAGGTGAAGCCAAAGAAAATAGTGAAAGGTGTGCTGTCAGATAAAAGGTTTTGTATCAGTGATGAGCCGATTCCAGTAGTGTTAGAGAAGCCAGTCAAAAGTTTAGGTGGGTGGTATGATGCAAGTCTTGGTGATAAAGAGCAGATTTATTTACTGTATATGTACTACTATGTACAAACACGAGAGCTCACCCTACCCCGCCACAGCCGAACTTGAGTGGGGCCCTTTCTGGGAATGATGAAAAGTTTATAGTTAATTTTTAATCAGCTGAGAAAACAGAGACATTTACATACTATCAGACTCTGAGCCAGGCTGCACATTTTGCCTTGATACCTTTTCTACAGGTATGTAAAAACAACGTGACAACATACACATAGCAAAACACATAGCAGTACTAATATTAAAAAACGACTAACCTATGGCTATTTCTGCCACCAGTTACAGGCTAAACACTAATGTTATACTAAAACAAGATGCTAACCATATTTATCATATTGAGACATCTGCTAATCACCAATTTTGGTAAACAATGGAGTCCTTATTAAAGTGTAAATCTGAATGAGAACATGTACTGTACGGCTGCATCTCCCCATTATTCTCCAATGATCTCCCGCCACTGTATTCTGATACGCACAGAGAATTCACCAGTATACCTGGGGGAAGCAGTGGTGGTGGGCAGAGCGCATGCCTGGGCTCGTTTGCATATATTTGAATATTCATGAATTGGGAAACAAAAAATATTTTCAAGCCCTTTTCAGAGGTTTCTTGAACTCATTGGTGGAAAACTGTCAGACATTTTTCATAGCAGAGTATTTTTTCTGTCTTAAAGTGTGTTTCAGGATTTTTCGATTAGCCAAAAACAGAGCCGATAGCTGTTCAATAGATCTATTACCCACTTTAGAGAGAACTGCATATGAGTATTTCTTAAAGACAATTTCAATACTGTATCAGCATGCATAAGAAGAGGGACACTTTATAAGTACTGCATTAACCCAGATAAGACTGTCCTCCCATAAAAAACAACCCCATAGGTTGTTTGTCCAAGCAGGTTATTATAACTGCAGTTATGTTTTATTGTTAAGTGACCTCTAGCAGTTGTGTGAAACACTAAAGGACATACAATACATGTACATAAAAGTGACATAGACCCCTAGCTGTAGTAATAATGAGGGCAGCAAAGGAGGAATTCAGGTGACATTCTTATAGAACAACCAACTCCGCATGAGACACGGTTGAGGTGGATGGATAAGTTGACAAAAAACTGAACTTGAACAGAGAAGACTGTTGTTCAATCAGATAGTCCTTTTTAGACCATAATCACGCTATAATCCACTGTGTTTATTATGGAAACCATGACAAATAAGGTCCTTTAACCGTAACAAAGTACTTATTTTAACCCAAAACAAAAAATTTCCCTAAACCTTGGTAAAATATTTCTGTCTAAACCTAACCAAACATTTACCATGGCATTGTCACATCAAAATATTTCATACTTATTTTTTTTATCTGTGCCCCTTTTATCTGTGGCATGTCTCCTGTCGCCAGTAGAGGGTGCTAAATCAGGAATATATATATATATATATATACACACGCACACATACAGTAGTTAAGAGCAGTGAGCTGTGGGTGCTATTTGCATTTTTACAAATTATTTACTGTTAATTTTGAATTTCCTACTTAGGTCAGCTTCTTCATTTAATACATTTAAAATTCTTGATAAGCGTCTTTTAAATGCTTGCAAGTGTATTATGCCCAGAGGATCAAGACTAGCCCATCTAATATTACTTTATGATACAGAGAGATCCAGGGTACCTTACCCCAGGAAAGAATACAGACTGTACTAAAAGTGGACGATGGGCTGTTTCTGAGGATCCAGTTGTAGATCATTTACCAGTAGATCTAAGGACCTTATGATTAAAGGGATAGGGTTCCCTTGTGTAGAATCCCCTGCAACCTTAGAAATTTGGTGACATAGTACAATAAAGTAAACAGGGGTTAAATAAAAAAAAAAAGGCAAACGGTACAATCTAAAGTCATATCTAGCCTGGCTTTGTCCTTTTCCACTCGAGGAAGCATGCTACTACACTGTATGTATACAATCATATCATATGAGGTCTGATACTTAATGCCAAATCTGTGCTGTTCTATATGGACACAGTAAACCCCAATCATGTTTGTTTTAAACATGTACTTGTTGGTAGGACAGCAGACAGATATTCTGCACACAATTGAATAGCAACATGCAGGGCTTTGTGTTGGGTGCTGTCCCATTAAATGAACACTCTGCAGCCATATGAACAGCAAATAAGTGACTGAATTTATGGCATACCGTACAGAGGAGATCTGTTGGTGGAGTATAAATGACAGCTTTCATTAATGCCTCTGTGGTGGGAGACACAAGTCTTTCCATAATCCACTTTATGGCCCTGTCAATAATATATCGAGCTAAAGAAGGGCAAACTTTTTGAATTATTTATAAATCTATCTTCCTGGTGTAAGCTGTAACATCATTACAGTGACAGAACAAAAGCTTTAGCACTATTTGATATTGCATTGCTGAAAGAAGACTAGATAATGGTGGAGCATAAGCAAAATGAATCTCAGGTTTACAATGAAAAAAAAAACACAGGCAGGAAGCATAAAAGAAAAGCTCAATGTACAAAACTCTGGGGACATAATTTCAAAGAGCATCTAGTCTCTGGGTCATTTGTCAGTATGTAAAAGCATACACTAAATATCTCCAAGCAAGACACTTTTCGAAATGGAGAATGTGTTGTCAACTGAAGAGAAACATGATCACCTCTCAACTCCACCAGATTTTACAAAGCTCTCAGGGACTCTTTCCTGATATGGACAGATATGGATGAAAGAAGAAAATATTCAGTTTCAAAGTGCCATGTTTTTCTGGAAAAACTGAGACTAAACAAAAGGCATTTTAGTTACTGTGTTTAAGACAGTATACAAACACACTTGCCATTATATTTAGAATTGGCAAAACATTGAGTATTAGGCTGAAATAATGCATTCACAAAAATACACCTATTAAAAAAATAACACCTGCCTAATGAAAACCAGATTAAGTTTTCACAAGTGAGAAGATAAGGCCGAGCTTGATATGACAAAAGCCAGTGTCTGGTCAGAGAACGCACCTTTTACTTATAACAGATCCACCGTTCATCTTCATACAGCTCACTTTGCGAGTCTGGATACCCACAGCGCAGGTGGGAGTCCCATTCCAGAAGTTGGTTCCATTGAGATCCATGGAGGTGTCCTCAACACAGGGACCCCAGGCTGAGACCTCCCAGTAGAACACCATGCAAGGATGGTCATTGCAGACTCTCCACTCCTCCAGACCTGGAGTTGCTGGACGCTCTTTCCCCTCTGGCCACCAACACACAAGAGCCACAGTGTCAAACAACCTGGCATTCTGACAAAAGCTCAATAGACACAATTCAGCATTTTGCTCACACTAGTGTTAGTCCTGCCAAGCAACATAATTATGCGGATAACAACTATTCTGCACAAAAACTAAAATACTGTAAGTTTCACCTCTAATACAATCAGTAATTAGTCACTGGAAGTCAAATGCTAATGACTGCTGGCTGCTTATTGCCAAAATAATGTTTTCATAGGCTAGCTGAGCTGTCACTTTACAAGTTACAACTTGGATAAATTTGATTTGCAAACGTAAAGTCACCAAAAAGTCAGACTTCTTGGGCCAATTCTAACACTTCATATATTTAGTCATTATATGGACACACATTTTGCAACCTCAATGACAGTGTTTAAGTAAAAGCAGGAAACCTGTGAAAACGTATTTACCAAGCTCTGTGTATGATTATTCAGCAGGCTACAAAGCAGAGAAGCCCATTTTTAGGTATGTGGTGCGTGACTTTTTCCTGCCTGTTTTGCAAACAGGTGACACTACTAATTTGATGCAGCTTAGTAGATCTGATGGTGTTTAGATTTCATATCAATTGCAAATAAGTAATTAAAAAACCATTATGGAAAATCACAACTGTTACTGTTTTCACATTACATCAACTTCTTATGTTTGACAACTAACTGGAATGCTCCGGTGTCAGGTCTTCATGTATTGGGTATGTTTGTGCAAAGATGTTATGTGGATATTTCTCATGAGAACATATCAAATGAAATTACGCTCTTTCCTATAAAAATGTTCAGTGAGTGTAAAACACACAGGTAAACATAATACAATACACAAATGCATGTCCATGCTTCTGAGAGTGCTGTGCACACAACAGCGTTCAACGCAGGGACTGTCCAGTCTCCCTGAAGGTAAAACAGGGGACATTTTTCTTGACGTAGGATCATAGGTGTCATTTCAAGAGTGTCTGTGACTCACATAGTTTGTGTCACTGAACCACAAGCACACACTCCTCTAACTCCTTCCTAACCTCACCCTAACCTTAAACCAAGTTGTCACCCCACAATTCAAGCATTTACATGGTGGGGACCAGAGTGTCTAAACAGATTTCGGTCCCTGCAATGTCATTAATAGCAGCCACACCCCAAAACACACTAACAGCACCTCTGCTAACAAGTGAACAGCCAGAAACATGGTAATAAAGAACACAGCAAGGAACCTGGATTAAGCCGAGAGATTCTTTCATCAGCTGTTATTGCAGATATGCGCTTGGTTACAGGGATTAATGGGTAGTAGCTGGCTGCCAAGGCTCTGCTGAAAACAACATTTGGAGTGAGCAGAAAAATACTAGCCAGACAAAAAGCCCTTGATAATGGATGGTCAACTCAAACTTCAGATATTTTTAAGACAAATGTACAGTAGCACTCTGAAATCTGCAGAAGTAACATCCAAAGTAAAGACACAGTGCTCACACAAGGTTTCTGATAAGCCCTTTGGCTCAAGCCATTCTTAATTTTTTTTTTTTTGCTGAGTTGAGTTTTAAGTTAGTTTGTTGCTTTCTCGTTTGAGTTCCAGTGACAATATTAATATATCATATCCTGTGGTTCTCCATCTTAAAAAACATGATTTGTTTTATTGTACCACACACAGGTTTGTAGATATACTGTATTAAAGTACACCAACATTGTTGGATTTAAGATATATAGTTATCAAAAAGTATCAACATGGGTGTATCAGGACCAGAAATATGTTTTTATTCATTCTTGCTTCTTGTCAGAATCTGGCGCCTACATTACAAGAATTATAAAAAGTGCAATTTATTTTTTATCCTCCCAGTTCTCATCTTCCATTGAAGACCACATTTTTATATTAGGGGCATTTAGAATTTAATTGAAAACCAGTATGTACAGTAACAAAATAAGACTAAATGACAGTTATAATCTAAAGTGTTTCCATACAGGATCCCAATAACCATTCTTCATCAAAAGAAAAACTGAGGAAAATAAAACATCCTCTGTTTGACATTTTATATGACTGAAAGCTGACATCAGGTTAGATTTTCAAAATCACCACAGCAATAAACACAGAAAAGTCAGAGGGAATGCTGCATTACCTTTCCCTGGGATGGCTAATACAGTGCGCGTGCGGCTCTGTCGGCCCTCTGCCTTCTTTGTGGCACAGCTGTGTGAGCAGGGTGACCAGGAGGACCAGGAGCCAACCACACAGTCGGCAGGACAGGCCACCTCGCAGACTATTTCTCTGCGTGGAGGGTCATCTACACAGTGGCCAACAGGCACATATAGCCCTGAGGAAGACAAGATAAGAAAAGTGAAATGGAAACATCAGCCTTAGAAGTTCAAATGTGTCTAACAAATCCTAAGATGCAGTGCAATGTGTAGCTTGTAACCAATTCACATAGGGACAGGAAAAAATAACCCAAATCCTCAAAAGCAACATCCATGAAATGACAAGGGTAAATGAGAAGTACAAAGGAAGTTTGATCCTATTTGTAGCAGGCATTACTACACATCTCTGCTGATCAGATTACAGGATGACAAGTTCTTGCCTGCATTAAAAAAAGATATCGGCAGCAGATATCAGATGTACCCTAAAGGACACATTGATTGTGATCCAAATGCACAAACCACCTTCGGAGGTGACCGGGTTTTCATTTTGATCACACTGAAAGAAAGTATAAATGCAGCACACAGAGTACAAGAAGAAGAAATATGTGGTCAGCTACTTTGACATGCTCTGCTTGTCCCAGGTGTCTACTGTTTCAGTTGTTTACCATTTCTGAAAGGTCTGCATGTCCTTTCAAGGACAGAGGGGAATTTGTAGCTGAGGATGTGTGCAGCTGGGACATGGGAATAGATCACGAGTGCATCAAACTGCTGAGTAACAAGTTGAAGATGCCACCTTTTGATGGCATGGTGATTGTGATATCATCAAAAAATCTTCAAATTGACATTTAGTGCCAAAGTTTGCCAAATGCAAAATGTGTTTGATCCTTTGGGGGAAATGCATTTTCCACTCAATAAAAGATTCACAAACATAAGTAAGCATCCTTCCTAAGTGTTAGAAAAATGATGTCAAACAAAAAAGAATTTGTGAAAGGAAATCATAATGCCATGCCATTGATATTCTGAGCTAGTTTTAAAAGCTATCCTTCAGGCTTCATCTTGCAGTCAAGTCATGAAATATTTATCACAGCACATTGTTAAATCTTCTTTTAGAAGCTGGAGGAAACATTAAGCTTTTTCCCTTTACTGTATATGATGACTTTAATTGTGCAATTAAACACAAATTACAGAAAAATAGTCTCCTATGGATGGTAATGACTGAATTATACCCTCGAAATGTAAAAACATGTTGTGCATTTGTTGTTGGACCGTGCCCAGAGTTATCAGAGTGCCACAGATTTCTCTAACATCTCTGTTCGAGAGAGAGAGAGAGAGAGAGATCAATTTCAGAAACACGAAAGCCATCCTGATGTCAAAACAACACCAGCAGCAGCCGAAGCATTGTTTTCAGATATGCGCTCACACACAGCAGTATCATTAACTTGGCTGAACTCTGCCACTACATCATGGAATATGGTTTAACAACAACAACCCCAGGGCGGATTTGTCATCAATTTGTCTTTTTTTCATCTCCAAGCAAATACCCTTGATGCAGAAGAGGGCAGTGGAGAGAAAAAACATATATATCACCTCATCATATAGATGTGAAAGACTCCCTTGGGGAGTTTGAAAACCTTTTGCCCATAAAGTTTAAGCATCAGAAATGTCCAGCCATCATAGTAACTGGTGTGTATACAGCAGGATTCATTATCCTATTGAAAGTAATGGTAAAGTCACAGGCTACAGTGCTTTATTAATCTGATTAGTAGAGATGCAAGTGGACAAAGACAGGTCTCTAGTAAACAAAAACAATGTGCAGACATTTGGTTGGACACTGAAGTATGTGTATGGGACAAGTGAAAGATTTTTAATGCAGTTCCATGTAGTTAGAGGTTTATAAGGAGCATTCATGAACACTAAATTATAACAAGTGTACTTAAAAAACAAGAGGAAACCAATTACCTTGAAAAATTAAATAAACGTAACTTAACTGTGTCAAGTTATGTGAAATTACTGTTTAGAATGTGCACACATAATTTGAGTAAGCTGTACTTATTCAAGTTTGGAAAATGTAACTAACAGTTAACTGAACTTAGAAACAACTTAAGAATAATAAGCTGACTGAACTTAAAAGTCACATGGACAGTCGCTGCAGAGAGGTTTATTTTGCTTTTACATTTCTCAGTTTGAAGAGTCTGTTCTTTATTTGATATGAAGAACTAATAGTTACAGCTGTTGGAGGCACTTTGTACCAAAGTTGGTGCAAATAGCATGGAAGGCTACCTCCAGCCGCTTTGTTAAAGCAGGTGTATAAGGGTAGGGGCTGAATATAAGACCAACCTTCGACATGGCCTGCAGTGCATTTACACTTATGAAAAGAAATAATCATAACTTAATTTAATATACAGTATATTACAAACACACAATGTTTCCACCATGAATGGGCTCTTCAAATTGTAGCAAAGAAAAGTTTCTGGAGAGTGTAAACACTCAAACAATGCATGCTGGATAGTCTTCCACCCCTAAAAAAGGGTTCATTTTGTCTAAGACACTCAAACTCAAACGCAGTGGGTGAGTTAACTTTTCTGACCTCAAATTACAAGTAACCGATTGAAAATGAGTGTTGATAACAAGCTCATGTGTTTCTGTTGTTTTGTCATTTATGAAGCTTAGCCTAAAAAAAAAAAACCAGGAACCTCTCTGTTTACTGTACAACAGCTCAACAGCAGCACAAACTACAGCCTCCAAAATGATCGTACAGTTGAAGCAACACCTCTTTAAAACAATTCAGTAAGACTTCTCTTTCACCTATTTTTTTCTCACAAGCGAACTTATCCTGTTCTTAAGATCAATGATGGAGCAGTATTCGCCATCACCAACTGATATACTTCCAGCATGCTTTTGTGGCACAATAAAATGCACAAACTGGTCTGACCTAGGCTGTCAGTGCACTAACAGGCTCTGTGTTCAGTATCTTACTGCGGGGGGGTAAAAATGTGGCCACTTACAATGCAAACATTTTTACATCAAAAAATATATATAGAAAATATGTGGACAACTTAACAGGCTTCCTATTGCTCTAGGCATATTTAACAAGCTGTTGAGATATACTATTGGCAAAAGCAGAAATATTTGCTATCCCTTTGCAAACTGTGCAATTTAAAGTAATTATTCAATAATTATTTTGCTGGAAAAAGAAACCCCACACAGGACTAATGAATATGCCTGGAAACAATGTCGAAAGAGAAATGGTATGATAACATGAATCCAAAGTCACAACTTTTGTATGTGTGAGTGTGTATGTATGACTACAAATGGGAGGGGTGGGGGTGAGGGAACTGCAAATAGATGTCTGCCCTAGGGGTCCTTTTGCATTATTAATACAGGGTTCTGTAGTTGGGGATCTTGCTCAGATATAATATCAGTTCTTCCTGCATGTGGTTTAAAAATGATTTCTATTCTGCTCACCCACCCACCAATTAATCTGAACCAATTAAAATGAGAGCCCTCGCCTTTGCTTAAAAGTTAATAATCACATCCACTGTACAGGCAGCTTCTAAAACAAAGCTGGCCCACAAAAGCAACAAAGCTAATTGGTCAGAATCACTGCGAACATCAAAGTGGGCTCTGACAAACTAGCCCAGGTCACAAATAGATGTTTTTTTTCTGTCAGTCATGTAACTTTTGAATGACACTAGTGACAGTGACACAATTTAGGGCTTCATCCTCAACAGCGAATACTGCTGACCAGTCAAGCAGAGAGTTCAGGCTGATAGCAACCAAACTGTTGGGTCATAATTGTCATGCTGTCTGTAGGTTTGCAGAAGTTAGCCGATATGCATCTACAAGGGCTCAAATCTGTCATGTTAGCTGTCACTCACTGTTGCATCAGTATGCTGAGTCAGCGTGTCCTGTGCTTGGTTGGTAGTTTAGGAAATAGGACTGGCTATCTTGAATGGTCACTGTGCAGCAAGTGGGAGCTGTGGGAGCTCTCAAGGTTGTCAAAACAACTTTACTAAGCCAAGGGCAAAAAGCTGCCAGTGTGCAATTTTATCTGAAGTTTACAGCCCAATAAAGTTGTGGAACACACCAAGCGCCTATTAGCTTCCCTAATAGAGATGCCACATTATTTTTAACACAGAAACAACTCTAGATTTACCTCCATACAACTCAAACTGCATCTTCTGTACACACTAACATGAATAAGACTAAAGATTCAAATTGTATTTTGCAGTGTTGCAGCTAGCATAGTCTAAGGTTTGAAAGTTGTACTGCACTGAAATGAAGCAAAAAACAAAAACAAAACTGCAACTACACTAAAAATGTTCTGTGGGACAGAAGTGGCTTTAAGTTTTCATTATTACCAGCAATAATGATTAGATAAAAAAAGATACAACTTGGTAAATAAACATTGTACAGTTTTTAGCAATATCTATTTGACTTGCACTAATGTACATTATGTTATAATATATCACTATTGTTGTAGAGTTTATATTAAGTGCATGTTAGAACTAAAGTTGTAGTCCTATCTTTAGTCTCTTGACACCTTCAGGTATATCAGGACCAGATGCAGACCAATGACAAGGTGACTACAGTGGACAGTAAACACAGTTTTAACGATCATCACTGGAGTACTGGTAAATACCTTAGTGGAACAAAGATAGGTGAACAGGAGCACACAGATAAAATAACTAAATGATACATTTGCTGGTTGGAAATAGAAACAGTAGGGCAAGTGATTGTGGCAACAACACAGGCAGGCGGGGACACAAAGTGTAATGGCAAGTACATACTAAGTACAACCAGAGCACAGGTAAGTATATACGTGGGCATAATGGCCGACTCAGATGAGTTCAACAATGCGAGTGGAGTGGCCAGTTCTGGTCAGTACGACAATGCAGGTAATATAACTGGATTATGAAAATACAATTATATACAGTAGATAGTGTGGGACGCAGGAGTTCAGTACAGAACACACAGATGAGTGGCTACCAAGCCTACAGACACACTAGAGCAGGGAACATGCTCTAAGCAGGCAGCCCAGGCAAACAGTTCAGACTAGGGGCAAACAATATTATCTGCTTCAGGGAGCAACTAGAGTCATACGCAGTGAGGGCAGACAGGAAACTAGGGACTGATTCCTGACCAGAATTTGAGAGAATAACACATCCAACACAAGTGA